ATGAGGAAATATGTAAAAAATTGCATAAATTCTTGCCTGGGTTGTTTATATATCAAAAACCCTTCTGGTAAAACACCAGGGGCCTTACACTCCATAGAAAAGGAAAATGTCCCAATGGATACTTTACATCTTGACCATTTAGGGCCATTTGTAGAGTGTCAAGAAAAAATGCATATCTGATCGTTGCTGTCGACGCGTTTACAAAATTCGTATTCATGAAAGCAGTTCCAAATACAAAAACTGCTCCAGTTATCAAGTTCCTTGATCAGATAATTGAGATGTTTGAAGTTCCTCGAAGATTCATATCTGATCGTGGTACTGCTTTCACAAGCAACGCTTTCACTGAGTATAACAAGAATCTGGGCGAGTTTTATGTGCTATTTCCACTCCAAGGGCAAATGGTCAGGTGGAAAGGATGAACAGGTCTATTCTTTCAGCTCTAATGGCATCCATCGACAACGAAAATCGTTGGGATGAAGCCGTTAGTCAAGTTAGGTTGGGAATTGATTCAACGATTAATTCCACCACTGGGAAGAGTCCCCACGAATTATTTTTTGGCTACCGGCCAAGAGGCACTAAGGATGCCTTTCTGTCATCTAGTGTATGTACAGAGGAAAGTCCGGATCTGGAAAAGTTATGAGAAGAGGTCTCTCAGAGAATATTGTCTAAACTAAAATTCAGCCCAAGTGAGACCACAACATCGCAAGCTCGAAGAGTGATCAACGCGTGATCGATGTTCCCGCAGAGGGTCTCATTATAGTTCAGGCATTTTACGGTTTGAAGTTGTAGTTTGAAGCGCTTGCTTTTTCAACTAATAGTTTCATTTCGTAGCTTTTATTTTTCTTTTTTTAAACTTTCAGCCCCTCATATTGATGCTTTTGTTAAATACAATGTCCTGAAGTGGCTCCAATATAAAACTCCATCAATTTGGAAAACATGCAGTTTCGAACATTTTTTAAGACCTAGTTAGACTGTAGCAATACAAAACCCGCCGTTGCGCCGCGTTGATGTCTACAAAAACCAGCGTTGTAATCAGGCCGTGGCGTGGCGTCGAGTGCATCGCTGTTATAAGTTCTGTTATATCTGGTGTTTTTTGACCATGTCTTCTACCGACACAGCCGATGAAGGGAGAACTACATTGAGTCCACTCAGGAAACGATCAAGACAAAACCATTTGAGCATCAAAGTGAAATAAATAATTTTAAATGTTTACAAATGTGAAACGGAGGAAAAACCTGAGCTCAGCGTCAACGATGTTGTGCAGAGGGTGGCGAATAAAGTTGGAGTTTCTCGTGCATCGGTATTTAGAGTACTCAAAGAATATAAATTACGAAATGCATTTGCTGAACCTAAAACGAATCAGTACCGTAAAAGCCAAATTAAAGAAATAGATGATGCTGACAGACATGCGATCAGATGGAAGGTTCATGAATTCTTTTTCCAGAATGAAATTCCTACAATTGATAAGATTTTGAAAGTAGTGAATGAAGACTCAGATTTGCCGAATTTTAGTAAAACGACGTTCTACAGGCTATTAAAGGAACTCAACTTCAATTGGCAGAAGAGAGGCCGAAACAGTTCATTGATGGATAGAGATGAAATTATACTATGGAGGAGAGAGTATTTGACAAAAATAAAAACATACAGGAGCCAAAACCATGGATAAATGCTGGCCATACAAAATCAAAAGTTTGAGTGGACCAAACAGTAACGTCAGCAAGAAGAGCGTTTTTAGATGGGCTTTCAACTGGGCTTAAAAACCCCACAAGTAATGCAGAAATTCCATTTTAGAAAATCCAACAATAGTTATTAGATAATTTTTCATAGCCAAAGTGATTTAAATGAGGCATTACACGTTATCAGATATCTAGAAAAAACGAGGGGATGTTCACTCTGGAAATCAATGTATTCTACGTTGGAATTCTTATGGTATCGATGACAAGATTTTTTACAGCAATGCGAGCGTTGCAGAGACAACATACCTTGTCCGTCACGGAATGTAACACGTTAATTAACAATGTCAGACATTGCGTTGATTTGTAAATTTTTCGATAAGTTTGTCACACTTGATAATTTTTTAGTTTAATTGATGTTGCCTGTTTCTTTTTATTTTTTAAGCTAACCAGATTCATCAACAGATTAAATGATGCATTGGCTGAAGTGTCCGATATATCTCACCGCATGCATCCCGCTATCATGAGAAACAATATAGCATCGTATATAAAATACAGAAATGTGTCCCTATCTCCGTGGCCTCAGTATTCTTGTGAAAGTCATATAATGTACATCCGTATTTAACAAGTTTTATCTTTATAGGCAAAGGAAAAAGGCTCATTATTTGCCACATCGGGAGTGTAGATACCTTCGTGAAGGAAGGACTATGGTGTTTTGAATAAAAAAAAAACCACTGACTACCACGAAGAGATGAATGGTGAAGCATTCGAAAACTGGTTTTTAGGCATTTTACCACGTCTTAAAGACAATTCTGTGGTGGTCCTGGATAATGCTCCGTATCATTCTCGGAAATTAGAAAAAATTCCAAATTCATCTTTTAAGAAATCAGAGATACAGGAGTGGCTACGTGCAAAAAATATACTTTTTGATACGTTTATGTTGAAATTACAACTTCTAGATCTTGTGAAACAACACAGAGCAAAATATGATAAATATATAGTGGACGAGATGGCAAAAGCGCACAATAAAATGGTACTTCGTTTGCCTCCTTACCACTGTGAGCTCAACCCCATTGAGCTCATATAGGCAGATATAAAGAATTTTGTTGCTGAACACAACACAACATTCAAGTTTTCCGACATGAAAAATGGTTAAAATGTGTGAAGCATGTTCAGGAGAAAGTGGAGGTTGCAATGTGGGAGCTAGACAACATAATTGAAAGGCATATTGAACCGCTAATTATCAACATCTATGATGACAGCTCTTCTAGTGAAAGTGAAAAATATTGATGTTGTCAAACACATATGTAGAATTACTTTTTGTGCCCCCCTTAACTTTCAATCACCTCTATTGACTCTGTGACGGTAGTGTTGTGTTATTATTTACTGATGTCTCTTTTTCAAATATTTAGTTCTGAAATATCACCTTAATATTTCCATAGTTTTGAGTCCGACCCTGCTCGGTTCTTGTGTCTACGACCATCATGCCAGCGACGAGTGCTGGTTGTTGTGTCTGGTCTCACTTGAAATGGATTCAAGTATAGACAGAGATATCAAAAGTAGTGGTATGATAAAAATCATTCAACTCCAAAAACGTTTGGAGTAGGGCAACATGTGCTCATTCGTAAGGCAAAAGGGTCCAATGATGGACAAATTAGAGAGCTCGAGTCACGATGTCGAGGTCCTTTTGTTGTTACGAAAGTATTCGATAACGACCGTTACGTGGTCAATAAATTGCCGGGATCGAAACGTTCCCGAACAGCAAATACGGGAATATGTCCCTCCGAGTGTATGAAACTATTTGTCACAAGAGTTTCATCAAGTGATGAGATTAGCTCTGACGATGAATAAATTCATTCGCTATTTGTAAATGAAGTTGACTGAAGTTTCATTTTTGTTTTAGGTAAGGATTTCACAAGGGCGTGAAAATGCATCAGGTAGGCCGACTGTAAACAATCTTGGTCCACCAGGTATTGGATTCAAGTGGGTGATGTCATGTTACCCGCGGTTTCACCGTCGGCAACCGATAGCAGGACGATGGGCGGACGGAGACGGGCAGTTCGCAGTTGTCAGCCGTATCGCAGGCTTGTTTATTTTTCCAATTAGGTAACGTTGTCCATTGACTTTATCTTTTTGAAATATAAGTGTCTACTTTATTAGTGTTTGATTATAATATCGATTATATATGTGATTTCAGAAGCAAGTTTTCTTGAGAACTGTCATTCTATAATGATTGTACCTGGGGCGTAGCTATCAATGATGATTTTCAGAATATCACGTAAGTGTTTAGGTCGTACGCTCATATAAAAATTCTGAAGCACTAAACCTTAGATTGTATGGCAAGGGAAATAGTAGTATTCTTCCTATTATTAACCCTCTAGATTATAACTGCAACAGCTGGAATAAGCTTTTCAAAATTAAAATATCTTAAGACTTAAACAAGGCAACTTTGACTATCAAACATGGCCCTGTCTTCAGAAGCTGAAAATTTCGAAACACTAAAATCCTCTTTCGCTATGGATGGTTCAATAATTCGTGCTTTTTGACATTTTTCCCCAAGGTGATTGTCATAACATCAATTTTATTCAATTGCTCGTGCTATACTCGTGTTTTGTTCTTTTTTGCATGAAGCGTGTTTATACTATATTTTTGTTTTAATTTTTCTGTGGCTGCGGATTGCACTCTTATCTGTTAACTATTACGTGTTTATCATGATTCTTTTTTGTTTATATAGTTATACAAGTGATTAATAAAAAAGTGGCAAATTGACTCGGTGCTTCTCAATCATTCACCTATAAGCCTTGCTAAAGCAACAAAACGTTCGAGCTCCATAACGTGTCTAAATGCGCCCAAACCTGAAGCAATCAGAAACAATGAAAGAAAATTTTCGAAATTTTTAGAAATAATAACCTCTCCATAAAGATGTTTGATTACTCTTAGAAATGTTCAGAAAGCTGTAAAGCACACAAAAATAAACTTTGGGGCGATGTGAAAGCTTTTTTAATTATTACACAACACCGCATTTCAATGACTTTTAAAAATAAGTAGCATTACTTACTATGACCCCACATGGATTTACGTGTTGTAGATATCAGAAAAAAAACATTAATCTGAATTTCTAAAATGTTCGCATTCACAGCAACCCACTCCTCAGCGCCCCCACCCCGAAACATTCTGCTAACCCTCGCTCTTCAAAAAGTTGATCTACCTTTCTGAGTTGACAAAACTTCCAGGGGGCGCCATGGACAATACTCATATTATTCAATTCAAGCATTTACATGTATTCTTTTGTAAAAATCTATAAGTTTTAGCCTCCAATTGGGAATCGCCACTGTCGGGTGGGACCCCCCTACAAATTTTGAAATGGGCCCCTGAGAAACAAGCTACGTCACTGGATCGTGCACTATATACGACAGTTGTGTCACAGTTTCTACTTAAAGAATATATTTCTCCGTAACGAATTACTAAATCTACTGGGCTATTACAAAATTACAGACACTCCCAACTAGATGGGATGACACGTTGATATTATGTTATATAAAGAATGCTCGTATCGTGTTGTTTTCTTTAGTACTGCGTGAATGGTATCCAGTTGTAGCGTCTGTGTAAAAATGACTCTTACTTTGTACTATATCGAAGCTAGCCCTCCGGTAAGGACTACTTTGATGGCAATCAAGGCCTTAGGGCTTCAAGTGGAGACAAAAAGAGTTGATTTGCCAGGTGGGGAGCATCTAAAGCCGGAGTACCTCAAAATTAACCCCTTACACACGGTTCCCACATTGGTGGATGGTGATTTTATTGTTTGGGATAGTCATGCTATAAACTGTTACTTGGTAGGTATAACAGAATCGTTGCTATAATGTGATGTACTGGTATAGAAACATGTGAGTGAAATGTGTTTAGTTGAACCCTTACTGGGGTTTCGAGTATCTCAACCCTCGACTACTATGGACTCATCATTTATGCTGTTACCGCGTAATATCAGCGGCACCCGCACGAATTTCGATAAAAATTCAAAATTATTTTTAAGCGTAGTCCAAACATTTTAAAATCTTTCTGACACTCGGAAGAATCATCACAAAGCAACGAGTCTTAATTCATTATCCACTTTTATTCTTTGCTGTGAAATTACATTACTGATATAATGAAGGTTGATGTTCTTTCGAATACCAGATATGTGGAAAAATATTTGTTTTTTATCTTTCTACCAGAACAACTGCTAGAGTTAACTTCTATACAGGGGCGGACTTCTTTGCGAGATACATCAAAATTATATTAGAGACAAAGGAGGAAATCATTATTGTCCCGTCACATGAACACACGAGCCATCACGAAAACACACGTATCAAACTATAAATTGGTCGACTGTCTGAAGCATTGGTGTATAAGGTAAAAATAGTATATTTCTATACACATAACATTTTTTGCAATAGTGGGATTCCACATATTAATCGCGTATTGTGAGTTTATGTGATATCTCGTGAATTCATGTCACGTCATAGTAAAGTATTTTTGCCTTTATATGCATTTTTGACCCTTTCAGGAAGCCCGGTGACGTAGTGGATAACGCTGTGTCCCGTGTTTCTCTTAGCCATGAATGTTGTCATTGTCCGTTAAGCGTGGAGGTACCACTCGGCGGATATCTAAAGTGGGGCCAGAATGTTCCCTCGCTAGAATTGGTGTGGCATCCCCCTATAGATCCACGGTACCCATGGGTGTTTAGCCCTTAGGCCTTTGTTGTGGTTCAAGTGTATTCCCTATAGCCCCACAGTACCCACATGAATTTAGGCCTTAGTCCTGCGTGGTGACTTGGTTATGAAAAAACTAAACGATGCCGTGGAGAAATGCTTATTCATCAAGTTGTTACACCTGATACATAACTTCTTTCTGTTCAAGTCATTGCGCATGTAATACTGCATTACCGATTGTCAGATGACGGTACAAGTTTGCGGACGGGCCATATTGGACTTTATTCTTTTATGCTTATAGTAGATGGTAGAAAAGGGCCAGTGGATCAAAGTGATACCGCCACGCTTCACGCGCCACGAAATTCCGCGCCAAACAACGTATGTGTATGGTCAGCAATTAAATGACGCTCATTGGTTAAGAGCAGACCTCCGGCACTGCGTAAAATGGCCTCAATTAGGTAGACTCTGCAATTCCTATGAAATGCCGCCCTCAGTTCATAAAAGCTCAAGTTCAGTGTAATTTGAATCCTCTGAGAAAAAAGTCCGTTACTAACATGTACAACTGGGGAATTAAACGGATTAAGTCAGTCAAACAGGTCCATACAGTAAGTCCATAGACATTTTTTCCTTGCCCTACGGGTAGTTACTGACCATTTGGCAATGCTGTTCCTTTCCACATCTGCGTGGCATAGCTGCAGCAACTTGTTGATTTCATACGTGGTTCGTGTATACGTATCTTCGATTCGTGGGGCGACGAACTTAAGCAAGAGTATGCGGATCGAACACATTTCTCTATTATTATAAGTTTTAAAGGCAAATATGTCCATGGAAATCTATGATGTGTGAAATGTGGATAATAAGTGCATAGAATTATCGAAGTTGGGAGCGTATAAATATACTGAGATCAAAAAATGTTCATATACCTGCTCCTACCGGTACAACCCACAACCTCCGAATTTCAACCGCTTCAAAAAATGTTTTGAAAATAATCAGAAGCCTCTGAAACGTCAAAAAACGAAGTTTGAACAATTCCTATTTATTTCGTTTTTCGCCCCCACTCCGCCGCCACTGGACCAAAAGCAATAACTTTGAAATTTCACCAAAATCCGAGCGGTACTTCTCAAGTTATAGAGAGGTCAAGGATTAGTACATGTCATACTCGTATAACATACAAAAAAATTTCTCATTTTCGAAATTTTTCGCCATTACAATATTTTCTCTCCCTGTGGCGTAGTAAGTCAAAATGAGATTTGCTAGTTTGAACACATTATGTAAGGTGTTTGTTTATTTTTTCATTTTTTCAGGTCGACAAATATGCGAAAGACGACTCTCTCTATCCCAAAGACTTACAAAAGCGAGCAATTGTCAACCAAAGACTGTTTTTCGAATGTGAAGTTCTATTTAACCAGTCATTTACAGTACTTGCTGCTATTCTAAGACATGGAGCCAAATCTGTCACCAAAGAGCATGAAGATAAGGTTTTGAGCGGTATGTAAAACGTCTGAAATCTTGTTTAGCTTTAGGTACTAATCCGTTACTCTGCCCACTCCCAAGCGTATGTCTAAGAGACTGTGAGTCAGTTGTGTTGATCGGTATGGTAACTTGGACTCAAACAGGAGAATTTCCTGTAAGGTGATTTTGACATTCAAACAACGTCTGCAATGCTTTCGATATTCGTATGTGAGTGGACAGCTGAAGCCGTAACAGTAATATAATAAAGTTACTGTTTTCAGGATATGAAAGTCTAGAAAAACTCCTGAAACTATCACCCTTCCTTGCTGGCAACAGCGTTACCATTGCTGATTTCTCTGCTGTGACTACAGTTACTTCTAGCAGCATTTTGATACCAATAGTAGCTAGCAAGTTCCCGAAAATCGCAGCTTGGATTAAAAAGATGGAAACACTTCCTTACTACAAAGAAGGCAATCAAGAAGGGTTAGATATATTGGACAAATATGTCAAGGATAAAATCGCGTCAAATTAAATTACATACTATTGTTTTATTTGTTCATATTTATATGCACCATCTATTGTTGTATTCAATCACACAAAGATTGTTTCAAAGTTCACACCTAATGTCAATTTTTCAATATATATTTTCATCATCATATTACCGATCCTTTTTGACCTATTCGTACTGTCTCACTCGCCTTATCTACCTAGTTAACCAAAAGTAAAGGCTATCAATAGTACATACTCTGGCTCAAAAAGGTATGTTTGCTTTCAGTCTTTCTGTCCATAACCAACCGTATACAACGTTACTTTATGCTTTTGACAATCATCAGTATGATATAATAATAATAAATGGCCTTTATTCGTCACATGATTACAAAATAATTGACTTAATAGGAATAGTGGCGCAACTTTAGTCGCGTCTCAGATAAAATCAAAGAACTCAACTGGTTGCGAATTGATAAGTTATTTTTATATCTTTTGACCGTCTTCACGCATAAAGTTCTATTATCTAACAGACCAGCTTACCTCGCTAGCAAATTAGTTCACCGAGGTAGTTTTGTTACCAGAGCTCTTAGATTTAATGCTAATTTTAACATGCCTCCTCACAATACCTCGGTCTTTGAAAGAAGTTACACCTATAATGCTGTCAAACATTACAATGCAGTCAACAGTGGCTATCGATCCAAACAGGTTGTTTCTTTCAAGAAATTAATAAAAAGTCAGCTGCTGGAGTCCATTTAGTTCAGTTTTTCTTGTGCTCATGTGATTTTTTTTTGTTTGACTACTATTTTTGTTTCAAATTTAAAACTCTCGCAATGCTATCTGCATTTATCTCGTGCAATCATTGTTGTCATTCTTATGAATTGTATTTTTTTTTGTATGTTATTATTTTGTTTATGTGTGTAAGTATTCTTTTTTCCTGTTGTGGGGTTGAGTGTAAGAGTAGCCGTCTGGCTAAACTTCGCCTCACTGCAGTTAATAAAGGCATTATTATTATTATTAAAGGTGCTGTTTTTCAGCCCGACCTAAAAAAACATTGACACAAACTATAAAGAAAAAAAAGAACCTAGATTTAAATGGCACAGTTCACACCATTGACCACCAAAAAGAGAAAACCTTAAAATATTACACTTCTCAGAAAAAGGAAATAATCAATTACCGGTGGATATGCGTACAGTTAAATTCTAGCCATCCGATTGCTTTGAGCTCATCTTTTTTTTTAAGTTTCCCTATTCTTTATTCTTTATACTCACTTGACAAGCAGTTATATAGTTTGGGTGCCCAGTACGAGAAACTACGTGTGAACAATGCTGTCGAATGCCGCGGGATGAGTAAGATGCGTTTATTCCCAGAGGATCTTTGATCCTACTGACAGTCGAGGGTTGGCTTTGAATAAAGATGATCTGGCGCTTTAAGGAGAAGGGTCTTATGTACCAGAGATAGGCAATGCAGTGTCCTCAATTTGTTCATCTTAAACCATCCCGAATGCTCAAACGCGCCACTAATACGATCAAATTTACGGATTCCATAAGAAAATCTGATGCATGAGATTTGTATCATCTGAATCTGCTCGGCATCACGTTGTAGGAGAGCAGGTCCATAAACATAGTCAACGTAAGCTAATTTTGGCAGGATTAGGGATTTGCAGAGTTTAAGATTGAGCCGTGTTGACAGGACACTTCGACTCGGGTACAACTGACGAAGCACACTATAGGACTCATTGCATAGTTGGTTAAGATGTTTAGTAAAGCGTAGCTTGCAGTCAAACCAGATACCAAGGTATTTGCATTCGTTTACAAAGGACATGTCTTCATTATTCTCCATAATATTAATGTGATCTTGATTTATTTCACGATTCTTTTTGGGCCCAAATAAAATGCAGCAAGATTTGTCAGCATTCAGTTTTAGATTGTGAGCACTAGATATGTCAAAAATAGATTGCAGATCTTGATTTATTTGATGCTGCCCAAGCATATATTCAACAGGATCGAAGCTGTTATAAAGTTGGGTATCATCGGCGTAATGATGAACGATTGAGTAGCTGGCGGTTTCATGAAAATCACATATATAAAGAGAAAATAATAGGGGACTCAAAATAGATCCTTTAGGGACACCAAAATTTCTGAATAAAGCAGTTGATATACTGTTTTCATATATGGCAGACTGTGAGCGATCAGTTAAGTAGCTTCTAATCAGCGTGCAAGCCGATGAGGACAGGCCAAAGTATCTAAGCTTTTTACAGAGAATATTTGGATCAACCGTATAATATAGGTCTAGTCATTTGCAAGGACGTACTCAGTTCAAAACGGAAGACGGAAGAGGGTCACGTCCAAGAAATTTTATGGTAAAAGTCTACATAACTATGCTAGATATTTCTCTTTCTATTTAAATAGAGTGTTCCACGATGATTTGGCAATTCATATGGATATGGGAAACTACTAAGATACGTTTTTGAAACATTCCAGTAAGCCAAATTTGAGCCCTGTTAGAAGAAAGAAACCTTTAAGAAACAACTAAATTCTGGCAATGCCAATGTATGACGTACTAATACATTTTTTGGAATCAGAATTTAAAACCCTATTCAGCTGTGCAAAAATCCAATATGGCGTCCATAAGAAAAAATAAAGTCGATGCTGGATGACAAGAGACGAAACGTCATATTATGCCATTGTAGAGAAAAAATTGAAATGACTGGAAAAATTTTTTCCGTCTTTCTCCGGAAGTACTTTGAATTTAGAAACCTTCTAAGCGGCATTTTGATAATTACCTAAACACACAACTTTACCCCTTACAGTTACCAAGATCCCAATGGTGAGTGTCGATTTTGAAATACCCTGTATAGTGCATTTAGCAAAACTAAGTTTATATTTAACATAGATTTCAACTAATCCTAGTAATTTTTCATCTCATAGATATTGATTCAGCTTGTAGACAAATTTGTACATGAATAATTTAATTTTTGTAAAACATGTTCTTCCCATTTAATTTTTGCTAAGGAACAGGGGGGGAGCTGCCCTCCCTCTGGCTACGCCCTTGGTCTCTTGGTCATTATTGGAAACAGAAAGTGAATAAGAGAAATGGGTCTATTGAAAAACTAAATATTTTAATGTGTGAAAATTAAAGTGACAAGAACATCCACCAAATAGAATTTCCCATTTTCACTGATGGAGTACTAACTACTCACCATGGTGCCAGCACTGACGTTCTATGCAAAAGTTGCTTACACTAAACACATGCTGAATATGCCAAGTTTGTTATCCGTCTCTGCGACCATAACCAACCGTATTCAAAGTTGTGCTTTTGGCAATCATCAGAACGAAATAGGTCTAGTCAGTTGGATAAATGGATCTATTGGGAAACTCAATATTTTGATGTGTAAAAAGCAAAACAAATCTGGCACAAGCACATCTACCAAATCGGCACACCACAGTCACTCAGTTGAGTACTAAGTATTCTCCATGGTACCATCACTGCCGTTCTATGCAAAGTTGCATAAACAGAAGCTGAATAGGATCTGAATATTTGCTTTTCACCTCTGGGACCATAATAAACCTATATCGTACTGATGATTGCCAAAAAGCATCAAACGACGTTGCATATGGTTGTGTATCTTTCGTACATTATCTGTATCAGAGATGAATGAAAGGTTACATCAGACATTTTGCCAGATACTCCATTTTTAAATCGTCTCTAATTTGACGTTCGAACAGAACTTTTGCTGCCATCAAATGGTTAGGATAAATATATGTAAAGTAAGATGTAGTGTACAATCAGTTGAATTAAGGTACACTACAACATAAAATTTATTTACTATCATTTATGTAAAACACGCTGAGCTAAAGCAGATGCAGGGTGCTTCAGAAAATCCTGGTAATATTTCTAGGACATAAAGTAGGTCAAAAAATAATTCGAAGTTCCTATAAATATGGATCCTTACTAGGGATGTTCCGATCCACGAAACGTATCGATACCGTGTATCGTTTTAGAAAGTATCGATACTCTAAAATATCGCAATTATAATATCGATACCACAAGTATCGAAACGTTTCGTACGGAACATACACTGCCAAAAATCGAAGTTGTTTTTCCTACAACCCTCAAAATAATGTTTACTTTTTTCAACTGCATGATTAGATTGTCAAATATGTTCACTAATGAAAATAGGTTAAAAAAACACAATTGCATTACAAGCTTACAACCTCCAACCTAAACTCGATTTTACAAAATAGCTCCACAAATCGCTTCTTACAGGAAGCATCACTATCACAATAGTGATTTGTTTTAAACTATAAAGTTTAATCAATCAATACTAAGAACACTAACAGGGTTGCCAGGTCGTTTATCTCAGTTTCCCCAGTCGAAATGTAAAAATCCCCTAAATTCAGGACTTTTCAAAAAACATCCCCAAAAAATACCATTTATCTTTTGTTACTATAGGTTTACGATCTGTTAGGTATTATTGGATCTTAAAATATTTGTTTGAGTATATTTTTGTATCTCGCTAAATACCCAAAAAGTTAAAAGGATTTTGAAAGGCAAATAAGTACATAACAAGTACATTATGCAATGTCATTAATAAAATTTTACATAATAATACCTCCCCAGTGCAATATGTTTTCTCAAAAGAAATCCCTAGAACAAAATATCCCCAATGTCTTCCCGATTGAAATAAAAATTCCTTGATTTTTGGGGGATTGCCCCTAATGTGGCAACCCTGGAATCCAAAATAAATTATGCGAGGTTGTGAAGTGAGTATCACCAGTGGAAGAAAACAAAGAAGAATAGTCATCTGAAAGTTAGTCACTTTTTCTGACACAGTCAGGACGGAAAGATAACAATACTCGTGAAATGTATCGATATCGTATATAAAAATATCGATCCTGAATATCGGGTATCGGAGGCAAAAGTATCGATACTTCTAAATATCGGGTCGTATCGAACATCCCTAATCCTTACCGGGATACAGGATATTGAAATTAAATTAAATGGTAGTAAAGACATTATATGCCATATGTACAAAAATTTTTAAGCCTGAGTCCATACCAGTAGCATAGAAAAAGGTAAATGTTGGCTATTACACAAGAAAAAATATTTTCTACGCCACTGGTTTCTTTGAGACACCTGTTGCATTTTCGAATAAGATATTCAATTCATGGATTTCCTCTCTTGAGAAGTTTTTGACTAGTGTATAGAAGGACTTACTATAGCGTTATTTGAACAATGTTCATGTCATAGTCTAATCATATTAAACGAAAATTGTGAAATAATTGAAAGTCTGGTTTTATGACTGCAAGTTGTTCAAGGGGGTATTTAAAACATGGACGCATAAAATGGGTACACCAATTTTTGTGGGAAAACTTTTTATTTGACAACAAAGAAAGAGAAAACGTGTTTTTGGGATTCAATGGAAAGTATCGACAGGACCGAAAAAACTTTTCATATAAGATATTTAGGTATTTATGTGACCTACATAATGAGACCACACCGTAAAAATATCCCACTAATAGTAAAACAAGTTATGGCCGAAAACCGAGGTAAAATGCAGGTTTTGGCACTTGTTTCTAATGCAACGATAATTTCACACAGCTACTTGAAATTCTTCAAATCTGAAGGTTTCTTACTTCTAAATAACATCAACAAAATTGGAGTCGATTGTTGAAGTAGTTTTTGGGAATTTCTAATTGTTTATTCCAAAACACCTGTCTTCCGGCCATCACTACTAGTTTATTGAGCAATATACAGGGTTTGTTCCAAGGGCATTTTATAGCAAAATACACAAGTTTACCTTGCCGACATGAATCACAAGCCATTCCGAAAAATAATTGTTAGTTTTCTGCGAAAAACGAAGGGTTACATTTATTTTCTTCTAAACAAAGTCAAACGTTACGTTACGATGCCTCTTGGTTTACTGAATCTTTATACCACTATACTTGACACTTACACATGCCAAGCGAACTTTAGAGACATATCAAATCTGTTATCAACAATTAGAATACTCTTGAAAACTGTACAAGATACAATGTTGAAACTTTAAATAATATATTAGGGACTGACTCCGAGCATTATGCCTAATTTAATCAGTTCGCTACAATTGGTTGATATTTGTCTACTGTTTTTTCGTTTTCTCGAGTTTATTTTCCAAGATTTTGAACTCGCAGTCGTTTTAATCGTACGAGATTTCGAAAACAGACGTATACCATATTAATACTTTTAGAAAAAAGGTCCAGGGAATTACATTTCCCCGTAAAGTGACTGGATTACATGACCTACTTATTTTACAAAGTCATCAATAAAGTAGCCATTTAGCACATGCTACATACTAACTAGTCTAAGACAGTTTGAAATATAATTGTGTCTTCAGTTTGCGTGCTAACTTTATAAACAGTTCAGGGCATTTCAATATTTGAAAACATTTTTTTCTTCGCTTTAAAAGGTGATAGACACATGCGCTTTGTTTTAAAATGTGTATAATGACGTATGTTTTTCGAATATCGTATCGTAGAGAATCTGTTCAATTACTCACAAATACGAATGAACCCTGTGTATTGCTCAATAAACTAGTAGTGATTTTTTTATACCGAAGCAGCCGCGCAGGCAGAACCCTAAATGCCGAGACACCGCGGCTGTTATGATGATCCAAAAGAAATTTTATTAATACGATTTTTGAACTGCCTAAGGTTAGTAGAACTGGGAAAAGCTTCCTCTTGTAGAATGTTCCACAATCTCGACACCCTCGGGACAAAGGAGCGGTCGTATCGGCCGGTTCTGGATGTACGAAGTTCGACACGGTTAGGATGGGACGCCAAAGTCAGGCGGGTCTGTCTGGTAGGCACATCGCGCGGCGGCATCATGGAAGAGAGCTCTGAGGAGCAAAGCCCGTTGGTGTAACGGTAGAAAAGAGCTAGATCGCCGACAGCCCGCCGGTGCGACAGAGTTCCGAGACTGTCTGTTAGAGGAGAGTCATCGACTGTTACAATTTTATACTTTTAAATCATGAAATATTGAATAGCCTTCACTTATATATGTTACGAGTATATACCATATTTTTATACACCTACATTTTTAATCTTCTAACTTATCAAATGTATTTATGTTTTTTGTATTGTTTTTTCAGTTTTTCCTTTTTTGGGGGTTAAGTGGCAGAGTACCATTATGCTAAACTTCGGCCCCTAAATAAAGACGATTTATTATTATTATTACCCTGTGCCTAACTTTTATGTCGTGCTGGTTTTTGGCATTGTGGACCGCTTCGTTGTATTTGTTTCTGGACTCGACGTCGGCTCGTCTGTTCTCTACAGTGAGGTTTTGTAAGTAGATTCTGTGCGCCTTGATCTTCTGCTGGCGAGCAGTGGCACACGATTTGTTAAACCAGCCGTTGGACCCTGGTTTAGGCACTTTCACTGTTTGAGGGATGTATTCCTCAATTCTGACGTAGATAATTCGGTTTCTGTTGCCACAGCGGGTTCTGACCGAAACCTAACCTCCACAACACCGTAGTCTGAGTTACCCAGGGGGACAGGACAGCAGTGCTGTAAAGGTCAGGATACGTGGTCAGAAAGAGATCCAGCAGGCTACTGGTATGTGACGAGACGCGGGGGAAAAAAGTAGGGCTTGTCACCAGCTGGGTCAGCCCTTGAGTAAGAGCGAAAACGTCAACTGCACGACCCACTGCATCGGTCTTGTTTGAGCCCAACCAAAGCTCATTATGGACATTGAAATCACCGAGGAGAACTACCTCTGAAGCGGGGTGATTGATGTACAGGAAGTCGATCTTGACGGCTACGTATTCAAGTAGGTCATCCCAAGTATGGTCCGAGGGAGAGCGATAAAGACAGCAAATAAATTTGGGGGATGTTTTAGATTTGACGCGAAGCCACAGAATGTCTGATTCCAAATAAACATCTCTGGAGCAGGAAAGACTGCTGCGGACAAAAGCCACAACTCCCCCGTTCTTTCTCAGATTAGAGTGCACCTCGTAGTTTGGGAAGTTAAGATGGTTAATCGGTGCAGACTGAGATTTTTGTCTCCGCCAAGGAAAGCACGGCGGGACGATTGGTTTGCAGGTAGTGATGGACAGCATCAATGTTGCTGTTAATCCCGCAGATGTTCGAAAAACAAATTTTATCTTCGATGTTGTTCCCTCGAGCCCACCCTCCACCCGGACATTCCGAGAGTAGAGTGAGTTTACGTCCGGAGTTCTTAGTGCTCGATTGATCCATCATCATTAATTTCTTTGTTTTGGAGGATAACCGACTGCATAGCTTAGGTGTGGAAACATGCGGACATTTATAAGAGAATCTAGCGGATGGTACTGCCTCGGTCGACTGGTTCTTGTCTACCACCTTCTGTTTGCGTGTTAACGATATTAAATAGACCTAAAGTAGCCCGTTGGCGAACGTGTACCACCACCCGGCAATCGGTACTGAGGTATTCATTAACGCGTGTACAATCACTTGAACGGGAAGAAGTTCTATACTGGATACAACAACTTCCGGAACAAGCATTTGCCACGGCCCCGCTCAGTAGGGCATAGCCTGTGTGGTCGGAAGACAGGTGTTTTGGGATAAACAATTAGACTATCAGTGGCACAGAAATTACCTTATTAACATGCCACCTAGCTGCCCACTGTTTTAGGAACGTTTGTCATAGAGATACAGAAGAACAACAGTTTTCAAGATTCTGCACATTCCTGCTGTCTAAAGATGTCATTTGGAGAGAAACTTTCAGAAAACACTAGTAATATAGCTTTTGTCGGACCGACCACAGACTGTTAACACCTATTTCGTGCTATTATGCAACTCCTCAGCATGGTCTATCGGACAGCACAAAGTGCCATTCGTTACCAGAATTGACCTCTGGGGGCGTGGAAAGAGCAAGATGTCAGCACTGTAATCGCTAGATGCCGCTGATTCTGGTTCTATAGTAGATTCTACTCGCCTTTGAAGAAACCACAAACTAAAGCTATATTACTAGTAGTTACTTGTTAAATTGCAGCCAGAATCGGCGGCATCTACCGGCCACAGTGGTGCTAATTCCTCGCTCCTAGTGGCTGACAAAGCGAACTGGGATACAGTTCCAGTAGACAGCTTGATGTTTTTACTTTTCCAGTGGTCGATTATGGTAACAGATGATACTTTGTCTGGCTGTCTTATTTCGAGAAATTTTTAGGCTAAAATTTCACTTACCTGGCGTTGAACTTCATCCCAAACCACAGTAACTTCAGTGTTGGAACTGTTGTACTGATTCATTGTCTTATGAAGGTTGTCCACAAGGAATTCTTCGGTTCTGTTTTTCAATAGGAAGCCTGCAAGTCCAACTACGACTTCCAGAAGGAAGACAATCACTAACATTGTAGAAAACTGAAAAATAAATAATGTATGGTAGAAAAATAATACAGAATCAGATATGGTAAAACTAGGTGGTTTGTATGAGTTTGGGTTCTTAAGTTTCTGTGTTTTGACCAGTGACTATTGTGTTTCGTGGACAAGAACAGTCCAGCATCCAGGAGACACACAGCTTAGTAGATTATGAAAACTTTGTAAATACTGGTCTTTTATTAAAACATAAAAGTATAAACGAGTATAAAACATGGTGTCAGGTGTGAAGAGCGGGTCAGCTGGGTGCCCTTCTGCACAATAATTGAAAACGCTGTGAATCACGAACCACGGCTGAAGAAATTTTGTGAGACATAAAACAAAATAGAGTGCACGTCGTCAACACCTTTTGATATAGATAAAAGCTATAGAGAAGTATGAAAGGCCTGAAGATGTTAAAATTGCCGAGTTGCTGCATCTTATTGGTGATACGGGGCTTGATATTTTCGATACGCTAACAGGTTGAAAATACAGCAACATTGAAAATATGCTCACTCCTTTGATGAACAGTTCCTTCCAAAGACAAATACTACAAATGGAGAGATTTAAATCTAATAGCATAAATCAAAAAGAGGTCCAGTGTATTGATAGTTTCTCAACCGAAAAAAAAAACAAGCAGCGAACTGATGATATTTTTGTGAAGATGATCAGTGCAATATGTCATATGCAGATATAATGATAAAAGATCGCGCCTTGTACTGAGAATTTATAAAAAATACAACAAAGCCTGATTAGAAAGTCAAATATTTTACTGTCTCAAATTGTGGATTATTGCAAATCTATGAGAATGTCGAAGCAGCATTTTATGCTTTTACAAAAAGAGTGAGAGACAACTATTGTGTGTGTGAAAGCAGGACGTGTTGCATGAAACATGGATTAGGAAAATGTCCGGCATCCAACAAAACTTGTGCCAAATGTCAGACAAAAACACGATGTGACGCTAAAACGATCTACATTGTCTTTTCTATTGCCATGTCGTCATCGGTCCTGTTCTCTTGTTCGGGTCAGCGTCCCTAGACCGGCTGCCTTGACAGAAAACAAAATCCTTTCGCAGGATGATTCCGCCATCGGGGTCAATCATCCTGGAGAGACCCTGGCTACTTATTCCGGTGGTAATCGGTCGCCATTTCCTCGTGAGTTATATAATAACGGGGTGCACCACCGAGAAGGTGGTTGATATACATGAGAGGTTATATACCATATATCTTGCGCTTCAATACACCTTACACCCCATGTGAAAGGACTGAGACTGCATTCATATATCATTACTCAAAAGTGTGCAATATATTTTCAATCATTGGTCAGAACTAACTCGTCATATTTTTTACTATGTTTACTCGTAACTATGTCAAATAATATTTATATACATAATGAAGATTTTTTTACTGTTTATTACAAAGCTTGTAGCCTTGTAGGGATGTTTTTATTTTAATATAAAATCAGATCTTATAAATACAAAATAGTTGTTGAACCGCTTCACATGATATTTACCATAATATCTTAATTGGTTTGTTATTAGTAAAGTATTAGTAACAATAAATGTTATAGCCATGAGCTTTTGACTTTTTTTAGAAATCTGGAGTATATTGTTAAATTGTATAATATTGCGAGCATTCATCATACATACGAGATAATACCTCCACCAACTTAGTCCCACTTCCATGATATTCCAGGTAATTTTTAGAACAAGGGCGTACATTATTATTATTATTATTAATCCGAATATAGGCGGAAATTTAGTCAAATAATGATTCTCACTTTTTCTTAACTGATCAATAATCAGTCTGTAAACAATTCAGTAACCGAATTAAAAAATAAGTAATCCGTGTGATCATCATTCTAACAATATATGAATATGTCTTTAAAATGTGTTAAATAGTGATACTTACGAGTTAAGTTACGGGACTGAATTATTGTAGCCTTACTGTCGATTACTGCGAGTTGATTTGACTTAATTTATTATATATTAGAGTATATATTTATAATGGAGTTATAATATTTCTAATGCCAAAAGAAGCAAATCCGATCCAGAACAGTATAAATCTCTTGTCATGGGCGTACATAAGAAACGATATAGGGGACCATTTGTATTGCGATGATGACTGAAGTTATCACGTGAAACAGTCAAACCGGAATTTCGATGGCTCACTACTCTCGAACTCCCCATGTCTGCCGCCAGACGTCATTACAAACATTGGAATTAGTGCTGTGCTTGTTAGGAGGGCCGTTGTTCAAAACCGTGCATGAAAAATTACGATTTGAAGACTGAGTCAGAGTTGTAGGATATCACATTATGACGATTGAATATAAGAACAAATACCTCAATATTCGGTGTCATTGTGTTAAATATACATTGTTTTCCAAAAAGCCCCTCTCATACTTATTTTTTGAACGGGTGAAGTTAGCATGCTGAAATTCCGAATGATGAAAGTGAACGTTGAAAATTTCAAGTTGGTGGTCGTCTTCGAACATTTTTTCAAGTGGAACGGTGGGTCATGTGATACCTCATCTTGAAGCCCTTCATAAGTACTTCATAGCCATAGGTCGTAAGGTCAAAGTAACGGATCGCTTGTTTACATTTAATCGCTTGTGATTCAGAAATCAATCATCAAAACGCCATAGAACTTATACCAAAATTCTGCTTATGAAAGGGTCTATCTGATTGCGCAATAAGATATGGAATCCTACATTCGTAATTATTTACAGAATTTTCTATATTTTATTGCACATTCACATATACCTTCCTAAAAGAAGAAGATTTATATGACATGTGTTTTATGATTAGTACTTATGTAATGTACAAACATTAACTTTTGACAGACTGCTAGTGCGCCATCTTGAAAGATTAAGATTCAAATGTATATAATACTAACAATAATATAAATAATAAAAATAATGTTATAAAATACTAACAAGGAGATTAAAAATTCTGTACAACAGACTCCCCATTATATTTAAAAAATTCCAAGATGGCGTTCAGCCACCATCTCGATATTTTCAAGTATTTTTTAGCTTAAAATATTGTATCCATGTATCAATTTCATCACCCCGAATCCCAGCTTCCTAATTCACCAATTTAAAAAATAGCACTGCAATGTATATCTTAAAAAAGATAATGTGTCGACTTGGATAGAATAAAAACAATCCGCGGACTTGTCCACGATAATGGTGATGAAAACTTGCAAGCCATAGATGTTACAAGTAATTCAAGTTTTCGCAAAACAAGTTTACTAAAATAGCAACGAGAGAGAGACATCCTAATCTGTAATTAGCTTGTGTTATATTGAAATATGTCTAAAAACTTTGAGATTTTTGATGTTGTTTAGTACAGTTCATTTATATGTCTTGTTTGAAACAACGGAGGAATCAAAGACATGGACCTAAAAATCGCGATCACACTGTTTTTGTATGTTTCAGTGAGTTAAATCGACTAATGTAACAATTTGAAACTTATTCTGTGTCATGTCTACGATAATCCACCATACTTGTCTGTGGTCAATAAAACCACATGTATTGACAGATCATGTTTACTGTAGTAAACTTTTCAATCAGTACAATGACATATATTTTTATATCTGTTTTCTAAATTAATCCTTATGAACGTTTACTACACTAAAGAAGATCTGTCAACACATGTGGTTTTATTAGCCAGACAAACAATAGGGTAATTAAATCGACTATTTAATACATATCTTGTCTAAAGAAATACTGAAATATTGAACTCTATCTGTGTTAAGCAGGGTGTGATGTCTATAACAAAATTTCATTTCATGTATTTTTTGAGTTAGCTCTTATCTATATCGTGACCATATCGTAGAATTGACCATTTCATGAAATGGTCGTATATGGTTAAATCGTCAACGTTTAACAATCTGGTCTTCCACGATTGATCATATCGTAAAATAGATGGACCTTGGCGAATTTAATGAAAATCCAAATGTGTTACGAACTCGGTTATTGTTCTTTAACTAAGACAACAATTTTGATTAAAACTAGTAACTTTAGGAAATTAAAGTAAAATTATATTAGAACATTTTTAATTAGGTACCCAAACTGTCACAAATAAAATGTTTGAACATTAGATATCACAAATTTACTTATTAACTCACGTGGTCACTCTATTCTGACGTATAACTCAAAAATGAAATAAAAACTACGAGGAGTTTTACACACGTAGAATAATAGACAAACAATATTTTAGTATTTCAGCTGGCACACGATTTTGACTTTTTGAAATGAATAATAGTGTATTTCAGGACTGTAGTACTAACTTGTTAATCGTGTGTTGCGAACTCCACGGCCTTTTGACGATTTGATTGGTACCCGCATTGTAATCACGAGCTCAGGTACCTTTTTGTTGTAAAGTCCTTTAATCTCACTTTCACCCTCATTTGTTATTGAGAAATGTAGTGTTGAAATGTAAACAACACGCGGCCAGTACCTCTATCGGTAATTAATATAAATATTTGATTTGATCAAATATTGACTAGACGATTTCATGAAATAACCGCGCGTTTAGTTGATCATATCTTTAAACGAATGTTTATCACTGATCGGATCAACCCACGTCAGAATAGATCATGGTCACGATTTCACACAGTTTTTGCTGTTTCAATAGGTATTACTATACTAGACCATAACTTGAAAAAAAAACTAGAATTATATTTCCTTACCGTTGTTGTCATGCAAACATTTTCTTTCATCGCACCACAGCAGCCAAAGAAGGCAATCATGAAGATAATCACACCGATCACAATGAGGAAGTCGGAGACGTAAAAGTATTTGTTGTCCAACAAGGTATCAAACTCATGGAAGTATGCTTTCGCACTCAAACCTACTGATATTATTATAATACCTGTCAGCTGAAAAGAAAGAAAATATTAAAAATTAATTTCTAATTCACAATTTTCAACAGATAGAAGAATAAAGGATCAGTATCTAAAAGAGTTTCTCAGCTCTGATTGAAGATAACTCAAATTTTAAGTTCATCGCATTTATGAAATTTTTGCATTAAAATATTTCAGGACATACGTATCAACATTTTCTTATATATTTTATCACCCATTTACGAATATTTAAGTAACTATTTATGGACGCACCGTTCCTTCTTCAAACCTATACTGAAATACAATGAGACTCAAAAAATACATCAAAAATTGGCGTCAAGTAAGTTGACTCCACACTTCCTACGCAACGCCGTTATGAGTACATAATGGATTAAGTTCAGCACAAGTTGAACACTATGAGAAAAAAAATAGTTGCAAAACAAGTTCAATAAAGAAATTCAACGGATCAAGTCAGTTAAACAGGCCCATACAACTAGAAAGTTTCCTATAGTCGAAAATATAGCTAGTCTCATATAATAGTATATCTGGCAAAATTTAAAGAAATTTATGGTGTTGGGTGCTATCGCCTACTGCGTTCGCGCGTCGGGGTTCAGTGGTGATGTCGCATGACATAAGTACGGCTTCTGGGTTACGGCACTGGCGCCTTGGCACGCATCAACATTTATAATTAAACCCACACGCGATCGACACCACAGTGGTTGAAAAGTACTAAAATATGACCAAAAGTAAGATTCGCTGAGTTTTACAAATAAAATTCATTTCTACGTTTTCCAGGTCGCTAATAACGAATACGATATCAATTTGTCAAAGATCAAGATGGAAAAAATGTTTTAATTGACGTCAGATTTCAGTTATAGATATTTTGGGAGTCGCTAAAACGAACTTAATATCGATTCTTGAAAAATCTAAATGGTGGATTCAGTATGGCGGCTGTTAACAAAAGAATGTCGATTGCGCTCAATTTACGGTTTTATATGTTTTCAATACCTTGAAATAAATTGTACTCAATTTTATTATTGTATACTGTCGCATAAGTGCCAAACTTGCAGTCAGCTGCAGCCAAAATTGACATATTCCTTAGCTGGGTGCCTGATAAACATTATTTAAACTCTTTTTGAATTCACTAATTACGGAAGAAATATCAACTACAGACTGCTGTCGTTTAGTTTCAGCTGTCGATTGGTAAGCAACAGAATGCCATATCATAATAAAGGGTGCTTTTTAGAGGAATAGAACTTTAAATTGCAATAAAACAACGATGGATTATTCGATTGACATGAAGTTTTTTTATTCGAAAGGTAATCTTATGGCATTACATTTTAAATATGATTTCTGGCATATGACTGCCACGGCTGGCTCGGATGTAGTCCAATCTGGACGTCCAACTTTCGATGACTTTTTCCAACATTTGTGGCCGTATATCGGCAATAACATGGCGAATGTTGTCTTCCAAATGGTCAAGTGTTTGTGGCTTATCCACATAGACCAATGACTTTACATAGCCCCCACAGAAAATGGTCTAGCGGTGTTAAATCACATGATCTTGGAGGCCAATTCACAGGTCCAAAACGTGAAATTAGGCGGTCACCAAACGTGCCTTTCAATAAATCGATTGTAGCAAGAGCTGTGTGTCATGTTGCGCCATCTTGTTGGAACCACAGCTCCTGGACATCATGACTGTTCAATTCAGGAATGAAAAAGTTAGTAATCATGGCTCTATACCGATCACCATTGACTGTAACGTTCTGGCCATCATCGTTTTTGAAGAAGTACAGACCAATGATTCCACCAGCCCATAAAGAACACCAAACAGTCAGTTTTTTCTGGATGTAACGGTGTTCAGGCGTGAGTCTATTCATGATGAATTGCCAAACCAAACTGAGAATAAATCACTTGACAGCTGTCAAATCGGTCGCCATTCTCAAAAGTAATGCCATTTTAAAGTTTTATACCTCGAAAAAAAACACTCATTAGCTATGCTTATCTTCGACTGCAATCCATTTTGCCGCGCCACATTTCAAAACAGCGGATTATTTTAAAACGATTATACAAATTTTTGGCACCTCTGGCCATGTTTTTCGGTTCCTAAACCTCGCTTATGTATCTCCAGCCACAACATGATCACTATAACAATATTCACATTATCTCGAAATAAAAGCTTTAATCAAGGTTCTTTTTCCATCAGAATAAGGCAAATACACTAATACATATTTGCTTTTAACCTTTTTAACATATATTAACCAAATACCTACTAACATCAAAGTAATATCTAGTTAGTACTACCATAACCGAAAGAGGGAATTTTATCGTCTCTGTCCCTGTTCATTACTCTGCACCACTTCCTTCTACCTCTCCTATGTTTTGGCACCGGTAAACTTGTTTTTCTGGAGCTGACATGCCTGTATTTGTACACCTACTTGCAATAAAGTATTTGTAACCCAATGGTCTGGCCCATTTTTTATCCATTTAGGTAGTTTTTAGTGTGCAATTCATTCCACGTTTGCTCGCTATGATCGCTGTTCGCTGACGTTTGAGCAACACGTACAGTTACAAAACGAGTTCACAAGTGTATAACAACTTGTGTTAACATCTTGCAGAAAAACCTACGTTATGTCACAAAACACGAAACGTCAAAAAACCGACGAGATGTCACTTTTCAAGATACGAAATACCCGTGCTGGGTTGGAGCAAGGCGTATGAAACAACAAACAGTTGAGATATACCCTCCCCTGCCCTCTACAACCACCCACCCCTTATTTTTTTTTAAATGATCAGGTTCCTGTGAAACGTCGTTTGAGCGATTTTTATTTTCCTGTGTTTGGCCTTTTTCTCCGCCGCCACATGACCGATTTTCAAAATCTAAAAAGCTTTTTCGTCCTTGGCGTAGTAGTAACCTTGGGTAAAAATTTCATCCAATTCCAAGCAGTACCTACTTTCCAAGTTATAGAGGGGTGGGGTCTAGGATTAGCGGACAGACATACCGACCGACGGAAATTAGTGACATGGTTTTTAGTGATATACATGTCCTATAACACCCAAAATACATGATATCTCATTTCATCTCTAAGTTTTATGTCTTGGTGAATTTTATTATACAGTGCTTTTCAATAAGGTCTTCCAAGTTATGGGTCAAGCTAGCATGCTGAAATTCGGGCTAACGAAATTGATGCATTAATTTTAGCGAAAGTGGCAGTTGAAATTTTTAAGATGGCGATACACGCCATTTTGTCTGTGGTCAAATAAGAATTTGTGTACTGTATCTGAGAACCTATCTATCGTAGAGGCTTGCGGCAAAAAAGTTCTTACTAAAACGGCCAAGAGAAAAACCTGGAAAATACTTGCAGGTTTCTGAAATGGCCGATAGGGGGCGTAACTGCAATCGTGAATCTATGAATCTAAAAAAGTGATGTTTCTGTGAATTCCGCTATATTAATCTAACAATCTTGGAAACGGCTGACCCGATTTTGGCAAACTTGGGCTACTTGAAGAGAGCTATTCTTGGGCTACAAGGGTTATAATATTTGAAGTTTTATTAGTTTCACATGTGACCGCTAGAGGACTTTTTTCGAAATTCCGACGAAAATGGTCAATTTTCTCAAAAAATTAAATGCATTGGTATGTTTTTTTTTATGAAAAAGTAGCTAAATAATGTCTAAACAAGCTCGCGAAAACCTCATCTCGATATCCTGTTCCTAACCTGAAAATGAGGCCAACGACAATTTTATACGGAAATTTCTTAAATTTTTATTTTCTTCGACTAATGTTTCTCAAATTTCTTTTTATTATTAGGTTGTGGCCCTAAAAAGGACCGATTTAAAGAAGAAAGGTTTTTAATGCACCAGTAAATGCTCGAAATGCTGACCATTCACGCTCTATGCATTCCTGAAGCTACTCATGGGTAGACAAAACTGCAGCTTCAATTTCGGCTCTCGGTATTGCATTACGAATCCGGTTTTTTTCCTCTGATTGCAGGTTGAGTCTGAAACACGATGTCCTTAAACAGTCTCCATAAATGAAAATCCAGACAAGTCTGGTGATCTCGAAAGACATGGAAACAAACTTTCTCTTCCAATCCACCGCTGTTGAAATACTGCATTAATATGCTCTCGCACAATATTAGCAAAATATGCTGGGCAACCATAAACTGCAAAAACAAGTTTTGCCGTGATTCCATTGGCACATCTTCCAACAACAATGGTAAATGATTGACCAAAAAGCCAAGAAAGACACTGTCATTTAGGGATTGCTCGAAAAAATATGACCCAATAATTCTGCCACACCACACACTTAAGCTTCAACGGCCTTGGTGCTGGACTTCACGTAACCAATGCGGATTTTCTGCAGACCAATAATGCATACTGTGCAGAATGACTGTCCTGACACTATTAAAGGTGGCTTCATCAAGGTATTTCTCTTTCAAGGCTGATGCAAAACGAAATAATATTGGTGCATTCTAAAAGTGATTATAAAAAAGTTAAATTCAAATAAATCCCTATATTTTGATGGCCATTAGAACTTATTTATGGTCTTTCCAAATATTTAGAGCCGTTGTTAGTGTTATGCCCAACTCAAGTGATAATGCCCTTGGGCTAACATCAGGATTTCCTTCAATGTATCCCAGTACGCGGTTAAATTTTCTTGTCTTCTTCCAATTCTTTTCCGAAAACCACCACTGTGGCACGTACGCTCGCCACTAATCGAAGAAAAACTCTCACATCGGAGACGCTGATTTGGATATTTAGTCGCGTAAACTCTTTATGCTAATGCGGCATTCTGAGGACATTGAAAATAAACTGCAAGCATATCAACAGCTTCATCGTTCGTAAAACGTATTTGGTAAGCACAAAAAGTGCACAAAGTAACGAGAACTATTGACAACTATTGACAATGAGAATTATTTATGTTTTGATTAGGTATTTGTTTTGTTGTATTCCATTGCCTCCATCTATAAATTCTCTTTTTCATATACACCCATAGTGAATATGCATTTAAACAAAAATATGCCTTATTTGTTATTAGCATTACATACAAACTTACCTTTTAGCGATATTTTATAATATTTTCAAAAAGGGTGATTTTATTCTGATGAATAAAAAAGAATCCCAGAAAAATTTGTTTGAAAAATAAAAATTTAAGGGATTTCCGTATAAAATTTTCTTTGGCCTAAATTTTAGGTTCAAACAAAATATCGAGATGCAGTTTTCGCGAGTTTGTTTAGACTTCTTTTTGCTACTTTTTTGTAAAAAAAATCACTCCAATGCATTTAATTTTCTTTAGAAAATTAGCCATTTCTGCCGGAATGTCGGAAAAAAGCCCTCTACCGGCCACATGTGAAACTAACAAAACTTCAAATATTATAAAAGTTGTTGCCCAATAATAGCTCTTTTCAACTAGCCCAAGTTTGTTAAAATCGGCTCAGCCGTTTCGAAGATACCGGGTGTTTTTTACCGAAAGCTTTGAATACACCCCACCACTTTATTTACAAAAAGTTCACATTATCCTCTACTAAAAAGATCAGTTATTTTTTTGTTAGATTAATATAGCGGAATTAACAGAAACATCACTTTTTTAGGTACGAAATTTCAGTTACGCCCCCTAGCGACCTTTTCAGAAACTTGAAAATATTTTCCGGGTTTTTATCTTGACCGTGTTAGTAAAAACTTTTTTTGCTGCAAGCTCCTGCGATGGATAGATTCCCAGATACAGTACCTCACCCGGAGCTGGTGAGAAGGGTCTGTGATGTCCCAGCATATTCTATATTTCTGAATAATTTCGACTTCTACATGTAGTCTAATCATATTAAGAAATTTCCCCGAAATAATTGTAAAGTCTGGTTCTATTGATGAAAGTTGCTCAAGGGGGTATTTAAAACATGGCCGCATAAAATGGGTACACCAATTCTTGTGGGAAAAAACAACGAAGAATGAGTAAACGTGTTTTTTGGGATTCAATCGAAAGTGTTGTCAGGAACCAAAAAAATCTTCAAATATGATTTTTAGGTATTTATGAGACCACACGTAAAAAGATCTGACTAATAGTAAAGAAGTTATGGCCGAAAACTGAGGCAAAATGCAGGTTTTGGCTCTTGTTGCTAATGCGACGATAATTGCACGCAGCTCTTTGAAATTCTTCAAATCCCCGCAGGCTTCATACTTCTAAATAACCACAACAAAATCGGAGCCGATTGGTCAAGTAGTTTTTGAAAATTTCTTATTGTTTATCACAAAACACCTGTCTTCCGGCCATCACTACTAGTTTACTGACCAACATACAGAGTTCATTCAAAGGTTATTTTATAGTGAAATACACGAGTTTACCTTGCCGAGTTGAATCACAAACCCTTCCGAAAGATAATTGTTATTTTTATGCGAAAAACGAAGGGGATAAAGAATTAGAAATACATACTCAAAGACTAGTTGACCAATCGACACCAATTTTGTTGTCGTTATTTAGAAGTATGAAACCTACGAATTTAAAGAATTTCATGTATTTGCGTGAAACTATTGTCGCATTACCAACAAGTGCTAAAACCTGCATCTTATCTCGGTTTTGGGCCATAACTTTTTTAACTATTAGTCGGATCTCATTCTGTGGGTCTCATAAATACCTAAGCATTTTATTTGAAGAGTTTTTTCGTTCCTGCCAACACATTCGATTGAATCCCAGAAAACACGTTTTCTCATTCTTTGTTGTCGAATGAAAAGTTTTCCCACAAAAATTGCATCAATAAAACCAGACTTTACAATTATTTCGCAAACCAGGGGTATTTTCGTCTAATATGATTAGACTAATGTACCTTCCCTTCTGTGTTCTATGTGATGAAATATACATATAAAGTAAAATCAATAGGTCTGGACATTCAAATTTGCTTGAAAAAAGAAAACAATAAAGGATTTTATTAATAAAGTAAGACTGAGTACTTCAATTCTACACAATAACAAAAGTACTGGTATTTCTGTTTGCAGTGTCAACTAAGATAAATAGCTTATTTTGTTTTCATATTCATTATGTCACAAGACTATATGATATGTGATACATATTTGACAGTGTTGGATACTGTGATTTTGCCAGCTTTTATAGGTACCAGGGGAAAATGTGTGGACAGGGGGTCACATTCAAACTATGAAAAAGATACTTTAAACATAATATAAATACCATTCCCAAAATAAATTCAATACCTACTTCTTTATCAAAAATAAAAAGTCTTCAGCTCCATCATTCTGTCTTGAAACAAGAGAATCATATAGAGTGAGAGCTCACAGACATTCAGGGTAAGGGTTGTGTTTGGAAGCTAGATTTTTTTTGGTAGTCGTTCGATGCTGTTGCTTATAATGTATATATTTTTTTATTGTAAAGAAATAATAAAAAGTAGAACATAGAAAAGGAGTAAAAAAAACAATGTGATTCACCACTTTTGTGTTGTGATGTTTTGGACATCATTGCCATAATGTACCATTGAAATTCTCACAGATATGCTTACCAGGGTAAGTACTAGATCCACTAGCAAAAAGGTGTCTGCCGACACTATGTGGGCAACCTCATTTCAGTAGGCCAAATTGCACTAGTCCCAAACAATCAAATCTTGATTTTCTACGCATTGATCAAGGGCAAATCGTGAAATTGTCATATTCACATGAAAACATGCAATTTATAATATACAGGTATTTGTTAAGAAAGTCAGGGATGGAGCATGCCAAAGGAGTATACATTTCATTATATGTCCCACATCAAGCATATTTCATACTAGTTAGATGGCTTATTTCCACAATTTGTCGGGTTTGCATAAGATTTTAAGTGCCAAATGCTGTATATTCATAACAAATATTTGACCTGTCCAGTTACAGGTTAATCCAGCATAAATATTTTTGTTAATTAATCGCAACTATATATATATATATATTTTAATATGAATTGATGGTCTCCCGGACAAAGTTTCAAACATCATATCAAAAAAAAAAATAACACCTCAAAAAGAGACAAAAAGGTTTGAAATTGAGAATTGAGCTGACTTTATAAAATCTGCCAGATGATAAACAATCAGATTGGCAATAAATAGACATGACACATGAAAGATAACAGACAAACAGATATGGTCAGAACAAAATATATGTGGTATGTCTGAAAACCAAGGTCTAACAATTCCAAGTACAGATATGGGTTTAGTGATTATGAATTCAACAAAGTGAATAAACTCATCTAACCACTCATTCAACAGCAGAACAGAAATTTTTCATCAATCATAAGGACAAAATTTTATATATTTATATTATGATATGTATGTTACTCTTTATGTCTGATAAGATTCACAATTTCACTACATTACTCATATTTGTTTTATCAGTAAGCTGCTACAACTTGGTGATGCAAATTAGATTTCAAGCTTCTAATGGCTGAATATATTATTGTACCCATTAATCACAATGTGGTGCCAATGCAGCAATAGGTACTGCACTTTCTGCTAAAGGAACATGATCACAATGAGTGCTACTGGAGCTGTCATCATTTTTTCCATTACAACCAAAATATGATGGGCTTTTGATCAAATGATACATCAAAAACTGTTTTATGCGGTTCAATGTTTTTTTGCCTGGTTAAAATAAAGCTGATATAAAATATAGTTGAGATATGCCTGATATATCCGATTTTAAAGCATACCATTCACAATATCACTGAGATATCATTTGGAGTAGCCTCGTATCAGCATGAAATAAGACATTCATTAGAGGAACTCTCATCAATACTAGTCTAAATAATATATGCTAAAAAGTCAAATAATTGGGATACTCGGATCGGTGGCTGGTTCGTCATCCCAATTCTTCAATAATGTAGAACAGCACATGATCTGGCATAGTATGAGTATCAGTGTATAAACGTGGATCTGTTTCCAATACTTACCGAGAATATTAGATTAAAAATGATCAGGAGATACCGAGAATAGCTCCTCATGATTGACACACAATCCATTTCCTCAAGTTTTGAGATTCGAATATATTTCCACGATGATTCGCAGTCTACAATGTCGAGATCTCTCAGGTAATCAAGCAGAAATTTCAGGTAACAGTTTGTTACCTTTGTGATTTTTTTTATCTGCTAATACTACGACTGAATCTGAGACTACAACTCTTATTCGGCGAACACAAAACAGCACCCAGCAAACAGAAACAGCTGTGATTCATCAACGATAACAACTTGTCAAAGTCATTAAAAGTCACCCGGGAGCAGTGTTGCCGCTCTTAGCAACAGGGTAGGATTAAGATTATTTGGATCGACTTCAAGTCATTGATGTGTAACAGAAACATTAATCAAATCCAAGCGAATAACCAAAATTTCTGTGTTATGTGGCGCGGTTATAATATGGTTCAAGATGACACACGGGTTGATGACGTCAGTTACACGAATCGCTTGAACGCGTTGGTTTTAACCGCGGTTTTGTTGCAAGTTGTTTATTTTAGAAAAGCGCGTATATAATCTCTGATTATTTTTATTATCACTTAATAATCGGTGCTTTTTCGTCTACAACAGTATATGGAAAGTTTAAATAAGAAACCTTTCATAATATTCATGGGAGAAATGTTTTTTCAGATTTTTTTTTAATGATGGAACCATGGGTTTGTAGCTATGATAACTTTCAATTCTCTAAATTTTTCCGCATGTCAAAGAAAACATTTATTGATTCAGCAGAAATGATGAAAAAAGAAATTAGCAAAACCGTATACAGGTGGATATCATCTAGTGAGTTTATATGGCCATATTTTAATATTCTTGTGGTATATGGCTACACAGGATACTTTGTTAAGCATAGGAACTACATTTAAAGTGTAAATCTGGCCGTTTTAATAAGAGAGTTACTTTACATTATTAAAAATTATTATCACGTAAAATTGTTCGATTAACGCAAAATCTTGCTCCGCGAATCAACGACGCTTTACAAACTTCGAAAATAAAATCCTAGTGTCCACAAATTAAATCACAAGCATTTTCAGTGAGCTGTTGAAGTTCTTCCAGAGTATTTACTGCTCCATCATGATACACCAACTCTTTCAAATAGCCCCACAGAAAAAAAACGCAAGGCCTGAAATCCGGGGAGCGAGCAGGCCAAGAAATGGGTCCATTGCGCCCTATCCATCTATTCGGAAACTCATTATTTAGATGTTCATGAAGTTCTCGTTTAAAATGTGGTGGAGCTTCATCGTGTAGGTATCACATATTCTGTCTCACATTTAGAGGAAAATCTTCTAATAATTGTGGCAGATTGTGTCGAAGAAAATCTAAATAAATTTTACAGGTCAGTCAAGGTGGAAAAAGGTAGGGTCCAATAAGCATGGAAATTCATATTGCGCGTATCCATTTTGATATATATATTTTTTAAATTATGTGTATTTCGTAATTGTTTCAAGTCTTTCGGCAACTGCTCATATAATTTTGGAGCCAAATAGAGAAAAGATCGCTTCATTAGCTTCATTATGGTCTTATAAGGTTTAGGGACAGTTTTTGCTCGTAATTTATGTCGAGTATAATGGCAAACTCACTGACAACTTTGTGATAAAGCTTGTCCTAAGTTAACATCTCGTAGAAAAACCTACGAAACGTCAAAAAACCGACGAAATGTCACTTTTCAAAATACGTAATACCCGCGCCGTTAATTTTGTATGTAACAAATCTAATTTTATTCAAAATGTAGGCTGCATGAATGTCCCACCCCAAATGTTAAACTCGTTTCTCCATGTTATGGGCATATGTACCGACTTTTGTAGTTGCATATGTGCATTTATTTTGGGCCTGATGAGGCTAACAAACAGAAATACGTATCGCTCGGGTTACCTATCCTATTTTCTGCTCGAATCCACTTTCCTTCTTTTTTCGGATTTTGTCCATTATTTTTCTCTTTGTTATATACCTTTCTCCACATGATCCCTTTTTTGCAGGAAGCGTTTAGCACATGGTACGGATTTTCCTGATTAACTGCAGGAAGAATAGCTTTTCGCCACCACACATCACCCATCGACTAACATGAATAAATCATATTATACACAATCACTTTGCAGAGGATGGGATTCATACATCAATTGAGAAGTTAGGGGAATAATTTTGACACTTGATATTTCTTCCCGTCACAAGCGGTTAAAAAGCCTTAATTCCTCTCTTACATTATCAAAAATAATATTATTTCTTCCACAACTCCCCTGATTTTTAATAATTTTCAATCTATACAATTAAGACGTTATAAAATTCTGTTCCATAATATTCGAAATTCCAATATTCGGAAGTTTGACAGATTGTTAAGCGAGTGATAATTTCGCTTGACACTCAGCCGAACTGGGTGAATAACCTTAGTAATATTAGCATTCCTGACAATATTTCCAGATTTCTTTCACTAAGTCCGATCATTAACAGGGGCATTCCAATCAGATCCATTCTAGCTGATGTAGACATAATAGCCACCATTAATGATGACACAAATAAGAAAATTTTTAAAACTCGTTCCTCTAATATCATTACAAACTTTTATCATAACAATATCATAACCAAGGGGCACTCCTTCTATCATAATCTACTAAATAAAAGTAAAAAAATCCTAAAAGAACATCCTAAGTTAACAGTCACAAGATCTGATAAAGGAAATGTGATAATGCTCAGGCAACAATATTTTGAACTATGTAATAACTTAATCGACAACGATCCTACCTATAACTTAATCAAATACCCTACATCAAGAGAAGAAAAAGGTTGTAATGACATTTTTAATAGATTGTTTAACAGAGGACAAATAAAACAGGACCAAAAGAAATCATTTTCAGTGGCATCCATTGGTTCAGCTACGCAGGTTCTATCCTTATTAATTTCATATATATTAAAATCAACCCACACTACATGTGAATTCTATATTAAATTCGTTAACATTTCTCGACAATTTAATAGGTTGCAGATTCCACCTGGACATGTTATTGTAAGTCTGGATGTTGTATCACTGTTCATCAGTAATGTCTATTTAGAAACTTGTATCAGATCCGTTTACAAACACTGGGATCAAATATGTCAATACTGCAAAAATATGTAGGTGACATCATTGTTTTGTCACCCTTTTGAAGGTTTGGACAGTATTGTTGATGACTTTAATAGCTACGATCCCTATATTCAATTCACCATAGAAAAAGGGGATGAAAATTAATCAGTTCCATTCCTGGACACAGCAATCTTCCGAAATACTAATATCTTATTAGCAGACTGGTACAGGAAACTTATGACGTCAGGAAGGTCCCTAAATTTCAGGTCTTACCATAATCTTATGACAAAGGTAAATTTGGTGAAACAAATGAAAACAAGGGTTATTGGCATCTCTGAAAATACTTTCTATTTTTCAAATTTACGAAAACTCTCAACGTGGTTCATTTATAATTGTTATCCCAGGTACCTGATTAACAGAATTTTGTTCAGCTCTCTTAATGCTTCACCGATCTTACAAAATAATAATAAAAAAATTGCCGACTTCCCAATGAAATATCAAGGATACGTTCTCCTGACGAGTTAAAAGGCAATTAATTATGTCCACTATATATACAGGGTGGCCAATATATAACTTACTGATTTAAATTGCGCGCCATTTTTGATACACGCATTTCAGTAGGTGGCGCCGAAGTAGTTGTTTAGCACATATGTGTCCAATTCATCATCGAGCGCTACACGATCCCACAACGCGTCCGTATTGTTAAAACATTTTACTTAAATGATGAGTCGATTATTGTAACGATTTGAAAGCTACGACAAGATTTCGGTCGAAATAATGTGCCCAGTGTCAACACCATTCGTCAGTTGGTGCGGAAATTAAGGTGAAGTTAAAGACTTGCCGTATTCGAACTGTTCGGACTCATGAAAATATCCAGAGAGTTCGTGAAAGTGTAGTGGAGCGCCCTGAGACGTCTACCAGACATCGTTCTCAAGAACTGGGTATTCGTCCCAGGTCATTATGTACTATTTTAAAAAAAGACTTGCTTTTGTGGCCATACAAAATTCAGTTAACCCAAGAACTACAGCCTAGTGACCATAAAAGTCGCCAACAATACAGTCATGCAATATTGCAGCTTAATATGGAAAATAACGATTTTTACCGACAACATAATGAGCGATGAAGCCGACTTATTAGGGCATTAGAGAACCCTCGTGTTATCCATCAACGACCACTACATCTTCGTCAAGTCACAGTTCGGTGCGGTGTTTGGTATGGAGGTGTCATTGAACCCTACTTCTTTGAAGTCGCTGCAGGTAATTCTCTTACTGTCATTGGCGAGCGCTACCGTGATATGGTGCAAAACTTTCTGGCTCGATGGCAACATGGCGACGGGTACAGATACAGTGATTCTAATCAAGGAATTGAGTAAGTTGAAAAAAGATGAAATAATCGAATTGATTGTAAAAAGGAAGTTACCCGTGAATAATAGTAGTGCAGTGTTAGTAGAATTTGTTTCTGGCTTGCAAAAGTGTTCCTCGTCTCAACATAACAACAAAGAATAGTTCTTTGATAGCACTGACTTACTTGGTGGAACAGACTGCGGTAAGTGGTAGAGGGAGTTAAGTGTTATGAAGAAACTTGAATCTGATTTAGAAAAGCGTGTTCAGGAACAAAAAGACCTTATAAAGCTGTTAAAAATGAAAAATAGGCCTCTTATAAACCATGAAATCGAGAGGTCATAGGAGGTTCAAAATGCGCCATCTCACGTCCAAATACATAATTCGCAGATTATGGAAAGTAACCATGTCCAGAAATCACCAACAAACATCAACATGAATAACGATGAATCCACAAATGATCGTAAAGAAGACAGTGGAAAACAAGGTACAAATTCCAAGTCTTATTCACAAGTAGTCGAGTAGCCCAATAAAAAAAAGGGGACTCCCATACCACAAAAGCAGGCAGAATGTTTACCACTCTCAGCCTCGAAACAATTTCGTAAATAGGAGAAAACCAATAATTGTCACAAGAAATAATGATCTTACAAAAATTCAAACTGTACAGAAGCTGGGATATCTACATGTGTTCCGTTGCGAACGTAACGTCAGAAGATCTTCAGAAGAAACTATGTGAATCAGCCCCTTGCATTCAATTCAACTATGATTTGTGGAATAAAACAGAAAAAGCAACTTCTTGCAAATTGTCATTTCCCATCGATAAGGTAAAACAGCCGTATAATCCTGACTGGGGAGCTCTGTTCAGCGTTTTAGGTTTAAAAACATTTTTAACCAGCCTGGCGATTTCTCTGAGGCAAAAAAACTAATTTCATCTGACAAGGAACTTGCGTTCCACAATGAAAACAAAAACATGACCAGATAGTAAATATCTTATCGGTATTTCATATGAATGTGCAGAGCTTTCCAAATAAAATAGACCTTTTGGAAGCTTATTGTCAAGAACAATTTCCTAAAATCCTTTTTATTGATGAGCATTGGTTAGATTTTCACTGGTTAGTAGTTTTTGCAGATCTGAGGGCAAGTGTTGTGGAACGGCCATTTTTGTCCATGAGTCTATCATCTCCGAGGTCTGTCCTATCCATAATATCATCGAGCACTTTTTGGAATTTGTAATTGAATGTTCTGGAGTTAAAATTCAATATTTCTGTCTGATTAATATATATATATATATATATAGGTGAAAAATTAAAGCTTCCGCCTTTTTTTGGGTACTTCGACAAAATTTAAGCAAAGAGGACTCTTTAAACTTTTTTAATTCTCTCTAGCTTCCAATGGACTTTGCCATCATCATCAGGAGCTGCAATTACAATGATAACAGTATCAAAAAAGTGTAAAATGAATTTAAATTGAATCAACTTACAGTAGTATGTGAGGATGTTGCTAATTGTTGTTTTCGTATAGGATGAGGGAAACGTCCAGTAACATGGTGAGAGCTGGATACATGGTACAATGGTTAAAATTATATAAAATATGACAAGACAAGTCTTTAACTTGGCTGGATACATGGTATAATGGTTAAAATTATATAAAATATGACAAGACAAGTCTTTAACATGTCTTGTCTTGTCATATTTTATATAATTTTAACCATTGTACCATGTATCCAGCTCTCACCATGTTACTGGACGTTTCCCTCATCCTATACGAAAACAACAATTAGCAACATCCTCACAAGTCTTTAACTTGTCTTGTCTTGTCATATTTTATATAATTTTAACCATTGTACCATGTATCCAGCTCTCACCATGTTACTGGACGTTTCCCTCATCCTATACGAAAACAACAATTAGCAACATCCTCACATACTACTGTAAGTTTTAAATTCATTTTACACTTTTTTTGCTACTGTTATCATTGTAATTGCAGCTCCTGATGATGATGGCAAAGTCCATTGAAAGCTAGAGAGAATTAAAAAAAGTATAAAGAGTCCTCTTTGCTTAAATTTTGTCGAAGTACCCAAAAAAAGGCGGAAGCTTTAATTTTTCACCTAACTGGTCTAGACGACAATGACCACGTCTCATGTTATATATATATATATATATATATATATATATATATATATATCTTGAGACGTAGTTATTGTCGTCTAACAACCAGTTAGGTGAGAAAATAAAGCTTCAGCCTTTAGTTGGGTACTTCGACAAGATTAAAGCGACGAGGACTCTTTATACTTTATTAGTCTCTAGCTTTCGACGGGCTGCAACCTCAAAGACGAGTAAGTGATTTGAAAATTTAAATCTGTTCTAAATTGGTTGCCAGTTTCATATTTGTGTTTTAGCTCCTGCAGATGAAAGCTCGAGATTATCGCCAAAAGAGTTTACTAAGCTTAAAGTTTGCCAATTTCCAATAAACAATGTAATTATATTTTTTGCCTAACTGGTCGTTGGCAATGGCAATGACTACTGCTCGTATATATATATATATATATATATATATATATATATATATATAGCTAGGAGTGGAGAACGCGTCTTTGGGGGAAATAACTTACAACTCAAGCTTTCGACAGTCTATGATGTCATCATAAAGAAATTGGTGCTAAAATTTGATCTTAAAAAATGTGGATGAGACCACATAGTAGGACGATCAAAAACTTTATTTACGAGGATCTTTTTGAAAAATTATTGAAATTCATGGCCATATGTTTTACTAAACACCACAAACGGATTTAAAAAAAATAATGAATAATTATTAAAACTTTTTCATTTCACATCCTGGAATAACCTCAAATGCTAGGTGGTCAACAGGCCAAAAGTGATATTAAGGTTAGAAAATTAAAAATATGAAGAAATATTGAACGGTCGTGTCAGCGGAACTCGCGGCACGCCCTAACAACGAATATGATGCAATGTCTGCCCGTGGAGTCCGTGCGATGAAAACTAAGATTTAACGTCCAAAAAGTCTATCCAAAAAGTACAATTTACCGTACGGTCGTAGATAATTGATTGTGTAATAGGCGTATGTATCAATTACGGCTTGAACTTTCCTTTTGTTGTGAAATATAACCTCATCTTTTGAATAGCATGCGCTACATATATATGCGATATGTTACATAATTATTCGTTATTTATGCGACTGAAATCTGCTACGACCGTTGCACTAAAATGAACTGAAACGACCGCACATACGAAACTAGTTCTTAAATTCTGCCATTTATGGTACACAAGTTAACTCCACACTACCTCAATAGTTTGTCTCTTTTCAAGCGTATATTTACTTATAACATAATAAATCTGCTACATATTATGTAATGAAATAACTCTATTGATCGTACAGGCTAGTTCAATTCTAATCCAAGTTGTCGATATGGCAAATTAAATCTATCGGTACATATTGCAGCACTCTTCGCTAGCTCGTCGCATCTAGGCTAAGAGCAACAACTTCCGAAACCAGTAATTTCTGATATTCAATTTGTTCACAGAAAAAAGTTTAGGGCCCCGCATTTGTAATAAAATGAATTAGACTAACTGTATTCATGAGGAATAACTAAGCATTGTATTAATCCTATAGATTATGATAAAAATAAATATTTAAATTGTATTTAAAAAATATTGTTACATTTCATTATATTACCAGTTATCGAAATTGAATGAATTCACTGTCTTTTTCTTCTTTTTGGTTGGTTCATTTTCGACATCTTTATCCTCTCTAAAAAAGTCAAATGATTAGTATGGCATGCATTGGTTTATAATATTGTGATTTTACCCCTTGGCAGAATTTGGATTGATGTATTTTCCAACACCGGTTCTAAATACTCTTAGTTCTTTCTGAGACTCCGCCTTTTGATTTTTCTTAGCCAGTTCTTTCTGCTGTGCTTCTAAATCCTCCTGTCTCTCTTTAGCGAGCTAAAAATAAGATCATATTTCATATGTTTAATATTGTAACACCCTCGTATAACTGGAACTATGGGTACCAGCGAGACTCCCTCGTACATCGACCAGAAGATTCGTCAAGTATCCAGAAACATCGACGCGGCTGTGCGCGAGCGATTGCGGCCTCATTGAGAAGCTTTGAGTTCACGTTCGAAAGTGACAGCGAGACTCGGTAATGGAAAACGGTGGAGTATGGACTCGTCCATAGGAGAATAAATATGGGCAGAGTAGCGGAAGTACAGTCAACGGTCAGCACCCTATGAGTCACAAACTATAGTGCAGTCGACATGGTTATAAAGGAACCGGCAACACTCCTATGGGAAAAGTGGTTTCGGTTAATTTCGCTGAAATATCTATATGTTATGTGTCCCGGCATCACGAACAAATGACTTAATGGGCACATTCCCCAAAACACAAAGGCTCCGAAGATATTGGCCATCCAAGTTAGTATAATGGGTTATCGGTTCTACCCCTCGAACATCTGCTTTAAGTGGACGAGTGGTTTTGGTTAATTTCGCTGAATTTTTCAAATGTTGTCTCGCCGTCCTGAACAAATGCCTTAATGAGCGCAGACCCCAAAACTCAACGAGTCCCAAGATATAGGCCGACCAAGTCAGTATAATGGAGTATCGGTTCTACTCGAACATCTGCTTCAAGTGGACGAGTGTATCTTGTTTACAACTGAGTATTACAGTGATAATAACGCGAAATAAATTTTATAAAAACTATTGCGCGGTAGTCTTACCACTGAGGCATACGTCTGAATATAACTGGAAGTAAAGTGCGTGCATTATTTGTTAGTTTTTGCTAATAATTGCGTGGACTCGACCTCAGAATCTGACTGCTGTGTTGCCATACTACACCGAAAATAGGAGAAATGAGTACTTCAAACCGCTGTCCCAAATGCGACAATTGTGTTTCAAAACAAGGGTCCTCCATAACATGTGATGGATGTCGCTCTGAGGTGCATTTAACTTGTGTCGGACTCAATGCCGACGAAGTAAGAATAACACGCAATAAATCCAAGGCGATTAAATATTTCTTTGTAACAATTGTAGCAATTTGATGGGAGACCTCAGTAATCTCAACACTCTAATAACAGCATTGAAACATGAGTTCTCAAGCAAGATGTCCAGTTTGGGAGGATAAAATTAATGAATTGAGGAGGGCAACAACATCGTATACACCATCGAGCTTGTTTACTTTTGAAGAAGTCCCCCAAGAAGTTAATGAAAGAACTGAACGGAAAAAGAATTTAATGGTCTTTGGTTTGCCTGAATGCAGAAGCCAGGATGCAGAAGCAAGAATTCAAAGTGGTATGGCTCAGGTTCATGATATTTTAGTACACGGATCAGTCTAGCAGGCCTCTCAAGGTCGTGTTTGGCTCTGAGAACATGGTTCACAGCGTTGTGAAGAAGTCCAAGAATATAAGAAGTAACAACAGATTCAAAAAGATTATTGTTTCATATGACAGAACACCAAAGCAAATTGAACATTATCGACACGTCAAGACTGAAAATTGATGAGCGATTAAGCAGAGGTGAAAAGAACCTGAAGATTAAGTATGCTGGTGGATGTCCTACAATAGTTACTTTAAGCTAAATCGTGCACCTGAATGCAGTAGTGATGCTAGTGATACTAGCTGTAAACGTCTATCGATATCAAGTTACTATCAAAACGTGCGAGGTCTCAACTCGAAAATAACTCTTTTTTATACTGCTGTATGTGACTGTGAATTCGATCTGTTTTGTTTGAGTGAAACTTGGCTTTCTGACAACATTATGAGTAGCGAATTATTTCCATCGGATTATACTGTATTTAGATGTGATTGAAAATTTAGTGTTATTAATCTGTCTTTGGGTGGTGGAACCTTGATAGCTATAAAAAATACTTTCAACTTTAATGCCGTGGATGTATCTGGTTTAAATTCGGCTCTTCCTCATATAAACACTGTTGCACTCAAGTTGGTTCTTTGTGATTCTGCTTTGCTCTGTATTTTGAATTTTTTGGTCGCAACATTACATGTGCCTTTAATTACCCCCGATACAATTTTCGCCAAGCTAACTTTCCTAAATTGTACAATGCCATTGCAACAATAAATTGGTTAAATTTAGATGATGTGAGTCATGTTAATAAAGGTTGTGATATATTATATAATAACATTTATCATGTTTTCGATGAAAATGCACCTAAGTTTTGCTATAGATCTCGTAAGTTTCCTATATGGTTTACTAGGGATATCAACAGAAATTTGAAGAAAAAAAAGAGAGCCAGGAATAACTGTAAGCCGACGCCTATTCAGCTTATTTACAAAACACTGAAGACAATATAACTCAAGATCCGAAAAAGTTCGGGACATTTGTTAGTGCCAAAAAAGGTATGTCAAGGATTCCTGGTGGTATGTCGTTCAATGACCACATATATGATCCGCCTCGAGAAATTGGTGATGGTTTTGCTTCATTTTTTTCTAGCGTTTTTTCTCAGCAGGATCTACCAAACAGTTATGATGATTTGCAAGGTTACAACCACTGATTGAATCTTTACACGATAACTGAAAGTGATGTCATTCTTGCAGCTAGGAAATTAAAGAATAAGATGACCTCCGGAGTGGACACTATTCCTTCATAGTCAAAGATTGCATTCGCGCTCTTGCTAGATCACTTTCTGTTATTTTCAATCTGATGGTACGCACTTGTTTTCCGCAAATATAGAAGATGTCTAAAGAATGCGGTGATACATCTGATATGACGAACTACCGTCATATTGTCATTTTGTGTAATTTTAGCAAATTATTCGAGATTATTATTTATGAGCATATTTATAATTTTTTCAAGCCCCATATCGCTGAATTTCAACATGGATTTGTTTCTGGGCGGTCAACAACATCTAATTTAGCTTGTTTTACCCAGTTTGTTGCCAAGACTCTGGATCAACAAGGCCAGATTGATATAGTTTATACAGATATACAGAAAGCCTTTGACCGAGTCAACCATCCCCTATTACTACATAAATTATTAATCTTAGGATTCTCTGAAAATCTACTCTCTCTCCTCCAGTCATATCTTTCGGACAGAACACTATTTGTAGAATATGGTGGTTACAAGTCTAATATTTACATAGCTACTTCAGGAGTTCCCTAAGGGTCTAACTTGGGACCTTTATTATTTTTAATATTCATTAATGATTTGTCGCTTGAGATTAAATGTCATCATTTATTTTTTGCTGATGATTTAAAAATTTATAATAATATCGTAACTTCCGAAGACTGTCATTTTATTCAAAATGACTTGGAAGTTATCAATTCATGGTGTTCCAAAAACCTAAATGTGTCAAAATGTAAAGTAACAAACATATTGCAGAAAACGAAATGTTATGCTTTATGGTGACTATAGTATTAATCAGGTAAGGTTAGAAAGGAGTAACAGTTATAAGGACCTAGGTGTTACATTTGATGTCAAGTTCACTTTTAATGATCATATAAATAGCATTACATCGTCTGCTGTCCGAATGCTAGGGTACTATGTTAGAATTTGGTCGGGTTTCTCGAACGTTGAAACACTCAAGCTTCGGTATCTAGCATACGTCAGAAGCAAGCTTGAATTATGCATCGCTTATATGGGCACCTATTTATCAAAACTCTATTAGCAGATTGGAATCTATTCAATGAAGGGCAGTACAGTGACGGTGCTGAACTTCACGCAACCAATGCGGATTTTCTGCAGACCAATAATTTGTACAGATTGACTCTCCCGTCACTATTAAAGGTGGCTTCATCAGTCCAAAGAATTTTAAATAAAAATTCTCTATTTTCGCGTATCATACCTACATCCAATAGCAATAGTCCATCCTCCGATCAAAGTCTTCATCTTTCAAGGATTGATGCAAAAAGACATGATTTGGGTGCATTCTAAGAGTAATTAAAAAAAGTTAAATCTAAATAAATCCCTATATTGGCCATTAGAACTTACCTATGGTCCTTCAAAATATTTTGAACCGTTGTTCATGATGCCCAACTCAAGGAATGAGAGAGACTCGGAGACTTATTTGAAACACACCAGATAACAAAATAACGAGACTAATCACAAATTATGTGCTAAGGCGCCATATAGAACTATACTTTTGTCCACCTTCTCTGGCGATTTTTGTCACTGAGTGACGCCGCACGTGTGGCGAGATAGTAGATGCGTTTTAAATTTTGTCAAATACATTTTATGTTAAATTCAACTAACCTGTTCATCAGCTTCATCATAAGGATTGACAAATATCTGTGCTTGTAACAAGATTATGTCTTCTATAGGCCTATCTTTATTATCAACTTCAATTTTCTCTACTTCATTCAAGGTTTCAATACCTCCCACCACTCTTCCAAACACTGTATGTTTATTGTTCAATTGTCGACACGATCTGAATGTTATGAAACTGGAAAATGTTTAATAGATATTAGTTTCAAAACTGAATATAGAAAATGGGTAAACATTCACAAATGAATAACCATTGTTACATTATTTTAATGATAATTTTTATTTTTTCAGCTAGATTGGACACCTCTATGTGAGGTACATTTCATTAGAGCTGGACCAAATACTTCTTTTTAGTAATTCAATTCCATGGTTGCGATTCTGGTTTCGGAACTGGCAGGGTTATTACGTAAAAAACCTTGTAATGTCAAAAAAACGATAAAATGTCAACTTGTTGACTAAGGCCCGTATCGTCAGTCGTCCCTACAATTGTAGGGCGCCTTTATGGCCTCCTTGATTGTCATAGTTTTCTGCTTCTCCGTGTCAGAACTCTATTTTGAGGTTATGTCACAAACATCTATTTGCATCAAATTGTGCTTGCTTTTGAGTTATATCATGTTTTATCAGCCTGAAATTTCCTACAATTTAAAAAGAAAACATATCTTCACAATAGGAGAGCGCTGACGCTGACACGGGACAAGTGTAATCTAGAAATTTTTGAAGGTGAGAAAGGAGTATGACAATCAAGGAGGCCATAAACGCGCCCTACAATTGTAGGGACGATTGACGATACGGGCCTAAGTAAGTTAGTGTGCAAATCATTCATTCGGCGCTGGCTACTAGTGAGCATGAAGTGAACGACAGCTGGTTCCAAGTTGACGTGTTGTTGGAAAACCTACATATAATGTCGAAAAACAACTGACTAGCTGTTCACTTGATGCGCACTCGTTTTGTAGCTGTATGTGTTGCCTAAACATCATGACCTCCGGATATCAATGTTTGGCTGTGATGTGATGTAACATCTGCTTCAGAGATGGCTTTGTTGAAAGTCTAAGCTGTAAGCTGTATATTATAGCTGGAAGGAAACGTTATGTATCTTGAAAAGTGACATTATGTCGTTTTTTTTTTGACATTGTATTGGTTTTTTGTAACATTATGTAGGTTTTTCTACAAGATGTTAACTTAGCACTAGCTGATGGACACGTTGTGAACTCGTTTTGTAGTTGTACGTGTTGCCTAAACGTCATGATCCTTCAGTTACCAATGTTTCGCTCTGACGTGATGTGAAATCTGCTGCTGGCATTACTGGAGGTCTAAGCTGTAAGTTGTATAATACAGCTAGAAGGAAACGGCAATGCTTAGGTGCATAGTGAGGATTTGTGTGCTAATAATATGTGTTGATGATAATGCCATTGGTTCTTGTCTCAAATACACTTACTAGAAATTAGTTGCGTATCCACTTTTTCTTATTAATTCTGGAAATTACAATGCAAATTTGCTAAGTTTCAAAAATCAGAGAGATAAAATAAAATCTCTGGTTGGTGAAGCAAGAGGTGAGAAAATATGCTAGAGACAGGAATATTTATGAAACGTGAAAAGGCTAAGTATTACATTTGACATTATTTTATTTTCCATGCGTTTAAATTTCATAGAAATGTATTTTGCGATGTCAAGTAGAAAATACAAATTCAGCGCCTATATGTAAGGCGTACATGTTTTGTGTGTGATGCGTTATTCCTAATTTTTTTCTGTGATGTGACTTAATTACATATAACGCAAAAAATGGGCTAAATTGTAATTTATAACACAAATAACCCGTCTGGTACAGCTAGTACATATTCTTCACGGGCAGCATATTCAGTAATAATTTTCTTGCATAGCAAATATGAATGATTTCATACACATGCAGACTAATACACACAATCACTATACGATCATCCAGATGCGATCTTGCTACTCAGCCAATTTTCTGTCATAACTTTTCAGTGATATACTCTACGGACTATCTCGGTATTCTGTAACCAACGAAGCATGCTGGGGAACTGACTTGCAGCTTGCAGCATGGTCATTGAGCGTGCCGTGTCGTTGAGGCATTCCTCCATAGATGACGCATAATGAACTATTTGGACACTAGAAAGTATCTAGCTAGCAAAAGTGCTCCTTTCAAACAATTAGTGCAAAGGCAGCCCAGTTTTAAAAATCGAAACAGATAACTTCGGAATGGATTCTTGTAATATCCTTTGCGGTATCGTTTCTTTGGAACGACTCCTTCAGAACTCACAACTCTGCTTTTTACTTATTTTCTGGCATAAAGGCTAGATTTTACCATTGACCCACAGGATAAATGATCCGCGGACCACATTGATCAATCAGAAGGCGTTTGGGGTCTATTGAATATAGGCGATTTCTTCTAAAAAATATCTCAAACTAGCGAAAGCATGTTATATGATTTGTGTAAGAAGTTCCTCTATTTATCTTAACAAATCAAAAAGTTCTATATACATCACTTGGTTTAGCTAGAGAAACCATTTTTTTCTGTGACGGGAAAAAAGTTTGACATTTTATCTCTGTTGACAGGTAACAAAATGTCACTTTTTTATGAAATTACTCTTTTTCCCGGAAAAAAAATGAGTACTTTTTTCCCGGATATAGTATATCCGCGATTAAGCTGGCAATCATTTTTGTGACACTACTTTGAGTACTTCCACTAATTCCGGTGGAGTCAAAGAAAACTCGGAATCAGACATTTTTTACTTTATTAATAATATTAAAAATAATTTCTAAACAACCACTAAGTTCACAATTTTTAAATCAAATCACAAATATAATTTGACAGCTATTTGATTACTTTCAAAGTTTCCTTAGCAACACAGATCTAATTGTCGCTATAAGTACAACATAGCCTACTGATTTCAAAATTCAAATTTCACATGGATAATTTTCTGACTTAAATATTGTAATAATATAATTTCTTCCGTCACAGAAAAAAATGTGTATTATACACGGTAAAAATACTAGATTTTAAAATCTAGTACTTTTTGCCCTTGTATAATAAATGACTATTTTTCATTTGATCATGGGATCAAAATTTGATCCGCGGATCAAAATTGACCAATCAGAAACAAGCATCATTTCCACGTTGTGAATAATAGAACCATTTTAAAACAATTACCTGAGAAATTTGGAAAAAGGATATATCGCTGATAATTAGGTGAAGATTTCGACAATTCCTTAATTAACGTCCATTATGAATATAACTTTCCCTTTCTACGTCTGTAGGAGGCCAGTCACATGAAATCGTTGATTTTTATTGTTGCTGGCCGTGTAAAATTCTAGTCTGAATACGTAAATTATACAATTATTATTAATTAAACAATAACAAACGTCGGTTAAATATTCAATACACTTGACTACCATACTTCATTTCTTCCTAAATATGTATATGCTAAGCACGTGTTTAGAGCTATATTCTCTGTTTTATAATCGTTGCACCATCCTGCCATTTGTGTTTAGTAAATTGAAGCAGGATGGTGGCATTCGTAAAGCAAACGCGGTCCACGGAGCACAGACTACTGAAACGCTTCCAGATCTACTGCTCTTGTGACCTCTTACCGTTTGCGGAATGGGATACTATAAATCTACGGTTTATTTTTTAAATCTACTGCCATTTCAGCCTCACGACTTTTCGTTGAGCAATTTGATGCGGCAGTACTGGGCCGTTCATAAAAGCCTTTTATGATTTCAAATACAATATTGACCTTTTGCTGTGCCTTTTTTCCTTTGGGAAAATGCATATATACGTTACACACATACTGAAATGCCTAAATCAATATAAATAGGATTATTGGCAATATTTATCTTTGCAAAAATATCGCCCAGACGCAGACGGTACACTAGCCAAACATACCGGGAATAGATAACACATGTATCTACAAACTACAACCTTAGACGGTACTTTAACACTAGATTGCCTAAGGAAGTCTTTTTGACTTCTTCACAATTTCAAATAGAAAAACAGTTATGTATATAATGACACAACTTCTTATAATAGTGTGACTTTTTGTACAACATATAAATGCGTTTATTAATCATTGTAGTTACCTCCGGTCCTTCAATTCCGGTATATATGTACGTGTTATACCTGTATTGCCTAAAAGCAGTAATTTTGACTACTTAAATTTTAAATAACCAAATGACTTTTTTCAAAATTGATAAGTAATAAAAAATGTTACTGGACAAAATTTGGAGTTGATAAGGCGGATCAAATAACCAGAAAATATACAGTAAAATCTAGTTGATGGCCCCCCAAAATATTTTTAAATATTTCAGATTTGGCTGCTAAAATGTTTGCATCTTTACAATGAAGCGACAGGAATACAAATACAACGAAAACAGTTCTTGTTTCAATTAGCAGAACAGCTTTATTACAGAGCTGCAAGACAGAACAAATCATCAGAACATGAAGATCCACAAAGATCAACTGCAACATCATCAAAAACAACATATTCCATCAAAAGAAAAATTTGTCCAGTACGTACGACTTTGCCACAATAACAAAACAAATAATATATGTGAAAAATATCAAATAATGCATAAATTATTTTTTTTCAAAGTGAAGTAATTTTTTTTCCTTGTCATTAATTACTAATAACTTGTTGTATGACTGTAAATAATATAAAAAATATTAAAAATTAATTTTAAACAAATTTCTTTACCCATTAGTTATTTTTTCACAATGCAGTCATTTTGACTGCTTTGGGGCAATATACGAGTAGGTATATACTAAGTTTCACTCTCTCTAGTGTTAGTCGACATGTTGCTGGATAATTAAAAATAGACCGTTTCTTCCCAAGATTATCTTTCAGATAAGTAGTGACACTGTTATGTATGATATATGTATCGAATTTGGTTTGGTCAATTTTGATCCTCGGATAGTAAAATTGGGCCGAAAGATCTCAAATTATAACTTAATTAGGTTTTAATAAAATCGGTTTTCAAGTTATTTATGAACATTTATGTTATAATTATATATTATACATACAACTGTGATCCATTTGTATTTTTTCCAGAATTTGCCATGGACAAAATGCCTCTACCAGTGTGACTCAGGTTAGGTCGAAACTCATCTTCAAAATCCTTTCCCCAAATAGATGTTCCACCATTTCCTGTATTTGTCGGATCACCACCTTGTATCTAGAATATAATACAGTTTAAATAGTCATTGTCGTGTTGGATGAACAAACAATCAAAAAAAATCATAATACATAAATTACCATAAAATTCCTGATTGATCTGTGAAACTTTGTGCCATTGTAATAACCATTTTCACAGTGTTTTATGAAATTTTCACATGTTTTTGGAACCATGTCACAGTGTAATTCTAGATTCAATATACCTAAGTTTGTAACAAGTCTAACATAGCCTGAAACAGAAAATATATTATGTAACACTTAATTAGCTTGTCTAAATACAAATGTTAAAAATTATTTCTCATGTTTTAATCAGTCCCGACACCTGGGCAAATCGTCCTATTCTGTGCTACTTTTGGTAAAGTTTTGCAATAAAATCACATTATTCCTCTATAGATCAATTTATTTTTCAGAAGATTTGGTATCCAAATTCAACACTGCAAAATTTTATAATCCTGTTAATCAAAATGGCTCACACAATATTTAGACACTGAAAATAGTGGAAAGATAAATTGATTTTTTTTAATTCTTGAGATCTTGAAATGGAACATTTTTCAGTATAACACAACGAAATGTACAATAAAGTGTCAATTTACAATATATTTTAATTACAAGTACTTATTTTTTTTTATACCGAAGCAGCCGCGCCGAGACACCGCGGCTGCTATGATGATCCAAAAGAAATTTTGTTAATCCGATTTTTGAACTGCCTAAGGAAATGGTAAAGGCTTCCTCTTGAACGTTGTTCCACAATCTCGACACCCTCGGAACAAAGGAGCTCGTATCGGCCAGTTCTGGATGTTCCAAGTTCAACACGGTTGGTAGGAGCCCAAAGTCAGGCGGGTCTGTCTGGCAGGCACATCGCGCGACGTCATCATGGAAAAGAGCTCTGAGGAGCAAAGCTCGTTGGTGTAGCAGTAGTAAGAGCTAGGGTCCCGATACAGTCTCTTAGAGAAAAGTCATCGATCAGTCGGACAGCCCTCCTCTGGACAGCATCGAGCATAAATAATGTAGTCAGGGCGGCAGCACCCCAAACGTGTGAGCAATACTCGAGACTAGGCATTATCTGGGCTTTGTATAGAGTAAGAAGGTCCTGCGGAGAAAAGTACTTCTTAGCCCTAAACAAATTGCCTAGTTTTTTCCAGCAGCTGCCGCTATTGACAAGATGTGTTCGTGCCAGATCAGGTCCTCGGTGATCTGGACTCCGACTAGCCCAAATGAATGGCTCTTTGCCAGAACCCGGCCATCTATCGAAACCGGATGAGCACTAGGACCTAGGACGCTTTTTGTTCGTCAAGGTACAGTACTGTGTTTTGGAAGCATTAAACTGTACAAGATTGTTGCGTCCCCAAGCAGTGATAACCTGTAGGTCTCTCGTCAGGGAGAAAGTCGTCGCTAGTCTTCTTTTTTCCAGCTCAGCGGCAGAGATCGGCTTGTCGTTCTCAATTCCTGCATGTAGAGTGCTGCATTCAGCAAAGCTGTGGATTGGGTTGATCGTGCAGGAAATGAGGTCGTTGATATGTCAGAGGAACAGTGTCGGAGCCAAGACCGATCCCTGGAGAACACCCGAGTTGACGTTGTGGGATGAAGAGGAGAACCCGTCAATTTCGACCAGAGATAAAGCAAAGCATTTTTGGGAGGCCATAGGATGGAAGTTTGCTTAAGAGGGCAGCGTGCCCAGCTGATCGAAGGCTTTCGTGATGTCAAGAGCAACAACATTAGCCTCACCATAATACTTGATGAGTTTACTGTACAATTGCGTGAGTAAGCTAGAAGGACCCCTGTGGATCGCTGGTGCCGGAAACTATACTGCCTGTCGCTAATCAAGCTGTGACGTTCCGGAAAATCCAAAAGTTCGCGATTTATGCACCTCTCCATCACCTTACTTATAACAGAAAGCAGAGCTATAGGCCTGTAGTTGTCAGGGTCGGTCTTGGATCCTGTTTTTGGTATGGGTTGGACATGAGCAAATTTCCAGTTTTCTGGGAAGGTTGCCACGCCTTTTTTTGGTTAATTAATAAAACACAATGATAAATGCTATCTAACGGTTGGTCCAAGCGAAACAGTTGTCTGGCATGCAAATTTAGGCCCTAGCTCAATAAAGCGGAGAGTAGAAGCGCCAGTGACTTAGGGATTAAGCCACAACTCCCTGAGATGTTAGTCGGAACTTGTTTTGCTTGATCACCACACAAAAGGAGAATCTAACAGAGATGACGAAATTTAAGTAACAGTACACACACCGAGCGAGCCAAATAAACAAGATATCAAATGGATCACAATATATTGATTAAAAAGAACAAAACGCACATATGCTCCACCACTGGAGTGCGAGAAAGGATATTAAAAAAAAACTGTCGCAAAATAAAATTAGTTGGCGCTTACCATGGTATACGCTTTACATATATGTTTTACGCCTAAACTACACTTAACTGGGAGGAGGTCTTCTCTGTTACGGCAAGGCACAGCCGAGATGTATCCCAGGTGAAAAAGAAAAAAAAAAGGAAGCCATTAGTGGGCACGCCACTGGGCAGGGGGCTGCTTGCCTCGGTCCCAAAAATTATGATGGTAACAGGAAAAAAACCCTAGAGAGAGAAAGACTGTTTAAAAATCTACTCTACTCTCTGTCTGAGATAAAACTACTCATTGAAAACAATCGCACTTGAAGCGAAACCATGTACATTTTTTTCGTATAAGAAAAGTAAAGCAAAGGCAAAAAAAAAGATAAATATGTACTAAACTAATATACCCTTGTTCTAAAAAGTTATAACAGCTCAAAAATCAAAATCATGATCAATGCAATAGAAGGTACCTTGTAGGAATTGCCCCCATATTTGAATACGTAGAATGTCTAATAAAATCAAGAAGTCTCTAAGAATTTCAATAAGCAATAATAAATGAGGGTCAAAATCCCATAAAACATAGAAGAGTAGCACCCAAAATAACTAAACTTAAGTTACGCAACAAAAAGAAAAGGGTGCTAGCCCATGAATGGGTGCTTGGGGCCTTATATCCCAGAGTCTGGAAAACGACAAAGAGACCCGTGGACCACGACCTCAACGGAAGCTGAAAAGCGAATCACCGAATACGTAACGTTCTAGAGGAAGGAATCTTGAGTGGCCTTGAAGAAGATATGTTTTATAAGAAGCCAACTAACGGAGAAAAACTGCCAGAGTTTTTTGCTGATCGTGAACACCATACTGAATCGCTGAGAAAGAAAGATATAGATATAATACGAGTGAAATTACACAATCAATAAACTATTAAATTTGCAAAAAGAAAATCATTGAAAGGCTAGGTTGGCCTAGGAATGGGCACTCTATTATCAATGAAGATAAATTCAAATTACTGATAAGTGATAAATAGAAAAAAAAGGTTACGTGATTTTGGCATGTGACAAGGTGCCGGATTCCTAAGACATCTAGAAGAGATGCGAATGAACTGGAGCAAGCCCCGCTGCACACCTCTTCAATACAATGGCAGGAATCAAGTCCGGACCAGAAGCTTTGTTGATGTCGAGCGACAAGAGCACTCTTCTTACGGTCTTATGCCTGAATGTCTCCCGCATAGTGTAGTGAAGCCTTTGAATTGACGGCACTTGGGCGTTGGGGGGGACGTCCATGGTGGAGTTGGCGGCAAAGATCTTGGCAGGCACTTCCGCCTTGGCATTTGTGTCGGATACAATCGTTCCATCCTGACACGTAAGCGATGGAAGGATACTGTGTGAGAAGTTCTTTTCAATCTGCTTGGCCAGCGTCCAGAAAGACCGACTGCCATTGCTCTGCGACATTACCCTGTGCCTAACCTTTATATCGTGTTTGTTTTTGGCATTTCGAACCGCTTCGTTGTATTTGTTTCTGGACTCGACGTCGGCTTGTTTGTTCTCTACAGTGGGGTTTTGTGATAAGGTTCTGTGTGTCTGGATCTTCTGCTGGCGAGCAGTGTGACACGATTTGTTAAACCAGCCGTTGAACCCTGGTTTAGGAACATTCACTGTATGAGGGATGTATTCCCCCTGACAGCCGATGCATCCACGTCACCGAAACAGAAATCCCTCCAAGGAAAGGTAGATAAGAAGTCTGTGAGCCCCTCCCAGTCGGCAAATTTTGCGGCCTGGGCGAGTTTCTGCAGCCACAAACGAAATCTAACCTCCACAACCGTACAAGATTGTTGCGTCCTCAAACAGTGATAGCCTCCAGGTCTCGTGTCAGAGAGGAAGCCATAGCTAGTCTTTTTCCAACTCTGAATTCCTGCATGTAAAATGTTGTCATCAGCGAAGCTGTGGATTGGGTTGATCGTGCAGGAAAGGAGGTCGTTGATATGTAAGAGAAACAGTGTCGGAGCCAAGGCCGATCCCTGGGGAACACCCGCGTTGACGTTGCGAGATGAAGAGGAGAACCCATCAATTACGACGGATATCTTGCGGCCAGAGATAAAGTCAGCCACCTATCTATCCATAGGATGGAAGTTTGCTTAAGAGGGCGTGCCTCAGCTGATCGAACGCTTTCGTGATGTCAAGAGCAACGACATGAACCTCACCATAAGTCTGGATGAGTTTACGCCACAATTGAGTGACATAAGGAGGTCTCCTGTGGATCGTTGGTGCCGGAAACCATACTGCCTGTCGCTAATCAAGCCGTGACGTTCGAGGTAGTCCAGAAGCTCGCGATTTATGCAACTCTCCATCGCCTTACTTATAACAGAAAGCAGAGCTATAGGCCTGCAGTTATAAGGGTCTATCTTAGATCCGTGATTTTTTGGGATGGGTTGAGCAAATTTCCAGTTTTCTGTGAAGGTGCCGGATTCATAAAAAATCTGGAAGAGACACGAAAGAACTGGAGCTAGCTGCGCTGCACACCTCTTCAGTACAATGGCAGGAATCAAGTCCGGACCAGAAGCTTTATTGATGTCGAGCGACAAGAGCACTCGTCTTACGGTCTCATGTCTGAATGTTACCTCCCGCATAGTGCAGGGAACCCTTTGAATTGACGGCACTTGGGCGTTGGGGGGACGTCCATGGTGAAGTTTTCAGCAAAGATCTTGGGCCTTTGATTCGAATACAATAGTTCCATCCTGACACGTAAGTGGTGGAAGGCTACTACTGTGTGAGAAGTTCTTTTCAATCTGCTTGGCCAGCATCTAGAAAGACCGACTGCCATTGCGCCGAGACATCACCCTGTGTCTAACTTTTATATCGTGCTGGTTGTTGGAATTGCGCACCGCTTCTTTATATTTGTTTCTGGACTCAACGTGGGCTTGTCTGTTCTCTACAGTGGGGTTTTGTAAGAAGGTTCTGTGTGCCTTGATCTTCTGCTGGCGAGCAGCGTCACATGATTTGTTAAACCAGCTGTTGGACCCTGGTTTAGGCACTTTCACTGTGTGAGGGATGTATTCCTCCATTCCGACGTGGATAATTTCTGTTATCGAAGGACAGACAGCCGACGCATCCAGTGAAACAGACATCTCTCCAAGGAAAGCTAGAGAAGAAGTCTCCGAGCCCGTCCCACTCGGCATGTCCGTAATGCCAAGTTTTGCGGCCTGTACGAGTTTCTGCTGCCACAGCGGGTTCTGACCGAAACCTAACCTCCACAACACCGTGGTCTGAGTTACCCAGGGGGGACAGGGCAGCAGTGCTGTAAGGGACAGGATGCGTGGTCAGAAAGAGATCCAGCAGGCTACTGGCTTATGACGAAACGCGGGGGAAAACAGTAGGACTTGTCACCAGCTGGGTCAGCCCTTGAGTAAGAGCGAATGCTTTAACTGCACAACCTGCTGCATCGGTCTTGTTTTGAGCCCAACCAAAGCTCATTATGGGCATTGAAATCACCGAGGAGAACTACCTCTGATGTTCAGGAAGTCAATCTTGACGGCGAGGTATTCAAGTAGGTCATCCCAGGAGAGTGATAAAGGCAGCAAATAAATTTAGGGGATGTTTTAGATTTGAAGCGAAGCCGCAGAATGTCCGGTCTGATTCCAATGAAACATCTGTGCTGTGGACAAAAGCCACAACTCCCCCGTTCTTTCTCAGATTGGGAAGCCAAGATGATTAATCGGTGCAGACTCTGAGATTTTTATCTCCTCCAAGAAAAGCATGTCGGGACGATTAGATTGCTTGAATAGTACAACTTGATATACAAGTTTGACAATAACACACTAAAGAAGTTGTAACATTCTTCACTTTTATTTGAAACACATCAAATAATAGTAGAATGCATTACAACTCATTCAGTGACTTATTGTAAAACTTGCACAATAATTGGCAATATTTGCTTGCAATAAAGAGCACCTAAAATCCAAAATTTTATTCCAGCCTTCCTAAAATCAGTCCAAAAACATTTAAATGTACAAAATACCTTTCTTCTTGACCCTTTGATACCTCACTTCATCTTCATGTATAATAGCAGCCTCATGTTCTAATTTTGGTACCATAGCAGTAGATGTAAAACTAGCTGCCACAGCACCAGTAGAATAATGTGCAGCATTGAACTTATCTGCTTTTGCAGTGCTTTCCTTCTTATTTATTTCAATTGTTGGTTTCTTATAGTCTCTGTTCAACTCTTCCAATGTGTATTTAGTTTCTGGGTTGATTGATTTTAGAGTAGCCTGTGGGTCTGACTTATCTGATATTTCCTCTAAAATAGAACCGTCTTAGATATTTTGAATGGAAAGTCTTCAAAGTATACCCTAATTGATCAGGGACTTCAAGAATGTATAAAAATGTAATTTAAAATTTTTGAAAAAATATTAGAATGAGAAAAGAAGCAAAATGCCACCTGGAAGACAAAACAAAATATATTGTCACAGATGTCAATTATACAGTGCACAGTGGTGGTTGAAAAGTCCTACAATAAGCTGGCCAGACAATGAAGTCCTTTCAAAAAAGTTCTCATATATGATTAGGATATTATATTTAATTGAAAAATAAACATACTGGTTGAAGGAACCATTATGTATATAAAGGTGTTTCTATAATGCCAAAGGAAAAATTAACTTATCAAATGTTAAATCCACTTACCCTCAGTTTCAACTCTTAAGCTATTCTTAATATGATGAAAACTTGATATATTAAACTTGCTCAGTTTATTGGGATCTTGAAGGATTATTATATCTTTCCTCTCAAATGGTTGATCTGTTATTAAATCCTTCCAATTTTTATTTTTTATATTCAGTTGTTCTATAGCCTCCATTAAGTATACATTTCCAGTAGTAGCTATAGTTGCTATATGTGAGCTTTTTGTCAATGGCTGGGGAAGATGTGATACAATACAAAATAAATGCCTATCCTAGTAATAGTACGCCAGCTATGTACTCATATGTCTTCAGATTAAGGCCCATATCATCAGTCGTCCCTACAATTGTAGGGCGCGTTTATGGCCTCCTTGATTGTCATACCCCTTTCTTTCGTTCAAAAATTTCTAGATTACACTTGTCCCGTGTCAGTGTCAGCGCTCTCCAATTGTAAAGATATGTTCGCTTTTTAAATTGTAGGAAATTTAAGGCTGATAAAACATGATATAACTCAAAAGCAAGCACAATTTGATGCAAATAGATGTTTGTGACATAACCTCAAAATAAAGCGCTGACAGAGAGAAGTAGAAAACTATGACGAATCAAGGAAGCGATAAAGGTGCCCTACAATTGTAGGGACGACTGACGATACGGGCCTAAAACATAAATAGCATGAGGGGGCAGGGTGAGTGGCAACTGCATGCTTAAGCACTTAAGCAATGCTTATGAAAGCACAGAAAGCAGAGCAAATACCTATTCAGGTCTAGCAAGATAATGTTTACACCAAGATACAGCAATATATTCCATAGACTTGAGGCATCTAAGGGTGGGGGGTGCTACCCCTCTAAATCTGCCCTTTACTCAAATCTTTAGATCTAGAATTGATGGGGTAAAACTTAATTTAGTAACCCCATTGCATGATATGAATGATGATGACTAACTTATGTTAAAAAAAAATTACCAATGTGACAATCTATCGAATTACCTTGAACAAAACTGGACATTCAAATTCCCCTTCCTCATTTCGATGAAAATTCAACTGAATCAGTGACTTAAAATCCAAAGATTTTCCTGTAACAGGGTTGGTTTTATACTTCTTCAAATAGGGTATTAGAGCCTCTAAATCAAATATATTTCCGTCAAGATCACAATAGGGCACACGGAATGGCTGGAGAGACAGACAACAATGATCAAAAGGGAGTCTTCTGAAGTTCTGTTCCTCCTTAGATGGTTCACCACTTTTCTTGCCGCCATATAAGGTTGTCCATTCGGTGTACGTAACGTACATTTTATCCTTTTGGTGCTGTCTTTTCCCCATCTTTTATTTTAGACGATTAATTGCAGAAAACAAATTTTAACAAAATGCTTTTTTTTACTTGATGTTTGGATTTGTATTTTGACAATTCTGAGGTTATGTTTCTGTCAGCTTGACATATCTCCAAATGCAAATATCAAAATGCCAATACAAACTAGCCATAAATCCAATAGTCCCTAGATTTTTAAACAAAACAAAAAATCGGGGATGCATCCAAATATCTACGATTTTCTGGGTAGTTAAAAATCCAATCCTTTCAAATACGTTGAGTCGCAATAAGTCAGCAATTCGTTTTTGTGAGCACCTTCTATGTTTCCTTAAAAAAATAGTTTTTTTAGTAAGATCGTTTACTGTTGGTTGCACTGCGTCAGGTCATTTTCGTCACTTCGCTTCGACACTTGCATTCGGGAAACGAGAGAGGAAGGCAAGTACGCGATGTACATCTTTTTAATCTAAACATTGTGGTTTGTTTTCCAGTTTCAAGTGTAAAAAACAGTCAGGTGAGTACCTACAACTAATGTTTTATATATAAACTGTAAAAGTGCAGGAGTATTTGCTTATTAATTGAGAAATACCATTGATACTACTACAACTGTGCCGAAGAACGAAAAAAGTCAAGCTGTGTATTCTGCTTAAATTTATGCTCAATGAATATATTCGAGCAGCTCCTAACGTTATTTATATCATTATGAGTCCGCTGTAGAACTTTAAAATGAAGTTGATGGTGAAAATTCACGGTATTATCGGTCTAACTTCACATCAAAATGGCCGACTGATGACAAGAATCAATTTCAATTTTGAAAAGGGTCACATTCCAAAAAGATCTACCTACCTACCTCCGTTCAAAGAATACATCTTGGGGTTACTGGCCCAATTTATGCTTTATTCATAAACATGTTTGTTTAGCTTGTGTTGTTCTTTTTGAAAGACGATTTTGCTGTTTTACAGACAAAGGACTGGGACATCGTTGGGCAAGTCCTAGGATTCTCCAAACCTTAGCGAAATTTATTATCTTTAACGCACCGGTAATTTATTTAAATTGGCAAGCATCATAATTTCTATTGGTATATACAATGTTCTACTGCAACACAAGGCTTCTCAATAGTTGTTATAAAGATTGGAAAACATCCGTATGCATATCTGCAAATGTTTTCAATATCTCTGCTCTTTTTCCTAGCTATTAACTAAAATAATTTCCTTCTATCAAATATACTGCAATCTATTGATCATTTTTTCTAGTTGATCAATTAATTCAAATAATTAATTGCTGAAAAATATTGTTGAATATCAGCAATAGTAATTGAGGATACCAGTACAAGACCATCAAAGTAAATCTTTCAGGAGGGAAAGCCGGTGTGTATTGTAATAATTTCAAATTATGCATACACAAGTGGGATAACTTGTATTTTTGAGAAAATGTGGCCTAATGCAAGAGCCATAAGTCAATTAAATTGTGTTATACATGGTTGACATCCTTTATAAATATACCGTATTACATGAGTATCCATCACACTTTGACATCAACTGAGGTGAACAACTGATCAGCAAGTGACATTTTTGTGTTAGTCTGTAAGATTGGCAATAATGAATTGGGTATTTAGTAAAACTTGTTCAAGGTGTTTTGTTTTTTGTATGCAAATGAATTTTTTTGAATAAATGAGCTGTTAGCAAGTACAAAATGAATCTGTAGCATACAAAAAATCAAAACAAAATACGGCTCTGTCTATCTGGCGTTGACAGATCCATCAGAACTGTGACCTGTGCTGATATGGGAAATTTTAAAGTATTACTAGATAACCAGCTGTCATTCTACCATGATGGATTCTCGTGAATTAGGGTGTATGCCAGTGGTCATCAACCGTTTCAGTGTGTTGAGCTAGTTTGATAACTTTGGAATAAACAATGAGCTACCTAGTCTTAGCAATGTAAGTCAACTTAAAGAAATTATACACAGTTGTATGCGACATGCATGTGTTTATTTTACTGATACTAATACATACTAATAAACTTAAATAAATTAATAACTAATACATACTACATATGTAACTACATCCATTCTTACCAAACGTAGGTGTTTGAAAAATAAACGAAATTTTTCGTCAGCTACAACGGCATGACACAGTCACATATGATTTAATAAAGGTAGCTAAAAATGAAAAAAGCAACACACTATTTTAAACAAAAAGAAGTCCAGATAAAAAATGTGTGTTCAATGAGAAGCCTAATACTTAGACTCACTGACAATTTTTTTAGTGTTTGGAGTGTCGTTTGATACTGCCACTCAAATACAATTATCCAAATGTTCATCTGTAAGTCGATTTGTTTTTAACCTTTTTGAAAAAGAAGATTAACACAAATAGGTTGAACTAAATAATGCTTTCACTTTCAAGGAAACACTACATAAAACTGAATATTTATCTTTATTACATACATTTTGTATTTGTGACTAATGAGTTTAAAGCTAAATCATTTTGAAACACAATCACTTCCATTTCTGTTGCAGCGATGTCTTCACTAAAATTCTGCATAACAGAAGTTGCAAACTGTTGGATATCAATTTCCGTGAAGGGTGAAACAACAAATTACACCACTATAGCAATTTCCTTAAAATCCTTAAAACGATTTCTGAAGTTATCCTTCAAGTTAGAGACTATTTCTACATGTTGTTTACTGTCATATTGTTATAATGGACTTTGAGATATATTTTCTGAAAGAACAGGAAAATGCCTAGTATAGCCATTGACTAAGTTTTGTTCCCAAAACTCAATCTTATTGATAAACTCTTTTATATCAGCAATCAGTTCTTTGTCTCTCCCCTGAAGCTGCAAATTAAGTTCATTTAATTTTTCTGTAATATCCACAAGAAAACCAAAATCTCTATTATGCAAGATTGAATTTTCCAGTTCTGGAATTGGTTCATCACATTGTTTGAAAAATTGAACTATGGCAGATATGATATCATTAAAACGTTTCATTCACTCATCCCCTATTTAGTCATCGGACGCTTTTTACTCTGAATTGAATTATTCTGTTAATATCTTGAATTTTATTATAATTTTATTTTGAGGTCATTAATTATGATTGATTGTTTGACCATCTACTATTGTAATATAAACTCTTGTAATTAAAAATTATTTTCTACTATTTAGATTGGTTAGCTATAAAAGCGTGTTTTTTTGTTTAGTTTTTTTATTTATTAAAAATGGTAACAAAGATGTACTGTCAATCTGCAAACCAACATGGGCAATAAATGAAATGTCAAAAGCATCTGTGAAAATAATCTGTATGGCATGGCCAATCTCTTCAATATCACAAAGAAAGAAAATCTTTTGTTCCATAATTTTTATATTGACAGCATTAACTTGATTTATCTTATCGTATCAATTGGCAGCAATTTATTTCAATCAATGATAATACTTCCTTGAAGGCACCTATAATCAATATGGGGTTCCGCAAGGCTCTTTGCTTGAACCAATAATATTTGTGATCTACATCACATATATCTAAATTGTTTCTCTGGTTTAATTTATGTGCTGACGACACTGCCTTGATTAATCACCATATGAAGATATGTCAAGATATCTGATATATGCCATTAAGTTATTGATAAACTTACCTTAAATGATGAAAAATCTGTTTCGCTGACTAGCTACCATGTTGACCTTCAAAGATGTATGTCCACTGCTGAACTGGGGACACTCAGCTAATGCCAAAACTGTGCGCATTGCAAAAACGTTATATTAAATCAACAGAATAAAGTACACACACATAGTACTGTTATCTCTTTCGAGATATTAACATTGCCAGATCTTATTTTTTACTTGTTTAATGTATACCAGGGACAATATTAAGCAGTTTGTGAAACACAGTGATGATCATAATTATCAGATCGTCTATATAGGTACACATTAAGTTGTCGCAAGACCGACTAAGTAGAGCCAGAAATAGCACCAACTACTACTGTATAGTTTTTTGTTATCCCCGAGTGTGTCAATATTAAATACAAACACATTCAGAGAAAAGATTAAATATTTGATCTGATTTTGATTTGATGAAAAAGGCATTCTACTTTTCAGAACTTATTCAATGATGATTTTTTGTTTTTACTATATACATTATTTTGTGTATTTCTTCATAATGTTTTTTTTATTTATCTGTTGTTTGTAATTATATGTTCTTGTTGCTTATACTTCATCTGTGTTTTCTTCCTTTTTCTCAAGTGCTGTTTGTCTATTGTCCATGAAGCATTACAAATTGTGTTCTTAATTTTTCCATTGAGTTTTGTTTGAATTTGTTTTTTTTCCTTTATGTTTAAATGAATTGTGCATGCTTTTGTATGTATTGTAGTACCAATGAATTTCTATTCTCCCATACATTCTTTCAAACCATTTCGAAATCAGATTGTAAGCTGCATTATTGACATAGGAATGTGTCAATAACAGTGATGTCGATTTATACAGGGTTTGTTTGTTTCAAACATTTTGTTTTAATCAATTGTTTTGCTTAAGTTTAAAACATGTTTTTGTTTAAAACACTTAAATTAAACAAGCGTTTTTTTCTTCATTTTCTTTATTAATATAATAAATAAAAATAGGAAATGTTCTCAAATACATTATACAAACTTTTTAACATGAATATGATTTATTTATTAATAATAGGAACAAAAATTGGAAAACTTAAACATTTTGGATACAAGTGTTGAAAATCCCCACACTCTTTCAGTCTCATAGTCATCTAAGTCATCAATCTGTTATCTGATCAGCCACGTCTTCACTGATGGAATTAAGCTCTTTAAAAATTCATACCAACTTAGCAGCTTTGACCTTGCTTGGCCCATTATGTAGTTTTGAATGGACTAAACCGTATGATGGGAAGAGTCTTTCTATGTTGGCTGACGATGCAATAGCTGTATGAAGCTGTTGAGCAAGTTCCAAGGCTGTGGCATTTATGTTTTTCATAGAACGCCACCAACTAATAATAATTGGCAATGCTTCTGGATGATAGGTTTCTACATATTCCATGCCAGTTTCTATTTGCTCTTGACTAAAGCGATGATCAAGCAAATATACCAAAAAATAAGCTGGGGTCACAGCTATTTTCATACGCTCCTCGACTTTATTCGTGTCACTTACCGAAAATTCTCCATTTGCTTGTTCAGTCTCGAATGCTTCTAAAAATTCTAGCCATATCTCTGTAGCCTCTCCTATGGTGCAAGTGTTTCTTTGGACTTTGTCCAAAGCAAATGCGGCATACTTTAATTTTTTTAAATAGTCTTGGGCATTTGTCTTTAAATTGGTAAAAATTTAAAATTCGAAGTTACTTGTATTATCTGGGTTCTTTAAATATTTTTGAGTTTTGGATATCTCATCTAGCGTTAAATCCTCATCTGACTCGGAATCATTGATTGACATTGGTAGCTGAGCATTTTCAGATGGAACACATTTTTGAATATGTTTCTTCGTATGCAGCATTAATCCAGCCATAATTACTTCACAATTTTTACATTTAGCAGTCACTGATTTTTTGTTATTATCTTTAACAACATCAAAATAGGACGAAATGGCATCTTTCTTCTTTCCTGTAGACGACATTTTTCAAAAAAGAACACCACAAAATAACTTACAGTAGACGTTATTGCAATAGCCAACTTGCAAGGCGAATAAGTTTTATTTGTTTAAAACAAAATTTAAAAACAAAACAACGTTTAAAACAAAAAATACATGTTTTTTTCAACCCTGGATTATAGAGAGGTAACATATTTTCCATTGATATCTTTGTCTGTTTATACTCTTAGACAAGACCTCCAACTTAACTATCGCCATCTACTTCTAGATTACCCCCATGTCGGTTTTTTAAAATCTTATTTGAAACTAAACGGCTTGGTTAGCCTACACAGCGCGAGGCATCTGTCTTGGAACTGACGCAGGGCCGGGCTGGTCAATTCAGATTTCCTCGGAACTCAATAACTCGGTTATAATAAATAAACCAATGGCTTTATGCTGTGTAAAGTCTGATCTCACGGAACAGCCTGTATTCTCCATTTTTACTATCCACGCCCCACTGGCGATAAAGTATTGTAATCTAGAAACATTTCGAACGCTAATCCTTGGACCGCCTATAACTTTGAAAGTGCTGCTTGGACTAGAAGTTGAAATTTTCACACAAGGTTTCAACTATGCCAAGGACTAAAAAACTTTGTAGTTGAAAAAATAAAAATCGCTCGAACTTTTTGACGTATCAAAGGATCCTGCTTATTTCAAAAAACCTTTCAAGGTAAAAAATGGGTAGTGAGGGGTGTATCGCATTTTTTTCTGTTAATATATGAATACACTTTGAAGCCCAGTAATTCTACGCACCTATTAGACATATTTCACACTTCATAAATTTCCCCGTACATTTTCCCTTAAAACTTATACGATAAAAAATGTTTTCGTCAAGCGTCCCTGCGTCTGCCTACTCCAACGGCGGGCGTGCCGGTGTTCATATGTGTCCTCGTTTGACTGGTGGTGAGTCTGATGCATCATGCATTCATTTATTAGAGAGAGGTGACGCAACGGTGTCAGATGCACGGTACTACCGTTAGGGCAGTGAAATAATGTGGTGGACTAGTATTGTACGGACCTGTTTGACGAATGTGATCCGTTTAATATCTCTTTTATGTCTGTAACTGAATTTTTTCTCAGAGGGTCTAATCGAAACAAGCTGTTTCGTGATTTTTTGGCAACTCATTAGCATGTTCTAGGCTTGGTCTTTGGGCGAACTAACGAGAACATAGCAACTATACTCTGTTAAGGATATAAGGTTTATAGCTCTGCCTTATTTCGATACGGTCTAACTTTTTTTCTCAGAGGGTTTAACTTGTGCTTAACATAATCCTTTATGAACTGATGACGGCGTTGCCGTTGGAAGTGGAGAGACAACCTACTTGACAAATTTTTCACTTCACCTTCACATGATTTATTTCCAAACTTTTATACTTGTTTTGTGCTGTAGCAATGTATCTCAGTACTTTTTGGAGGTTAAATATCAGTTTCATGGATTTACATTATCCTTATCATTAGTTGCCCTAGCAGAAGCTGGACATAATATATCCAATATTAGAACAAAAGTGAATAAATATATGATCAAATGTGTCCAAAATAAAGAAATGCAAATTTGCAGTATGAATATAGAAAAAGACCTCCTTCAAAACTCACATATGCATTAATATAACCCCTGCAATTTGCTGAAGATAAGCCAGTAGTCCCAGAATACTAGATAAGTCAAAACATATTTGATCATGATTTATTTTTTCATTTGAGCAAAGCTCAGCTGATACTGTACTCGCCAACTTCATCCCTATGGTTTAGCAATTTTTTTATTACCAATTAAATTTAAAAATCTATATTTGAATGTTAGTTTATATTATTCTGGCAGTGATCAAAATGTATACTGTAAACAATGCAAAGTATTTGTTTGAATGCTTTATTATTCTATATGTAATCATCACACACAAAGCTCTAAGCATGATTTTTGTATTAATCACTCTGTCTTTATTATTACAAACTTTGCATATGCGTCTTTCTCACAATCAAACGGTTTTTTCTTAACGTTCATATCACTAACAGTTTTATTAATGGTTTTTGCAAGTTCTTCTAATTCTTTTTTCCTGTTGCTAAGTACATACAGTTGGTGTTCTATGATGAGAAGACAATTGTTTTTTGAAATTTTTTCTATGGTCTCTCTCTCAAAATACTTCAAATATGTATTGCTGAAGTATATCAGGTGGAAAAAATTGCTATATTTTTCCTTGTGCTTTATGCTATTCAAGTTAAAAGTAGACATGAAGCAGATTTTGTCATCCAGACTAAAGCATTGTTGCGTCTTCTTAGGGATAAAATCAACAGGTTTTGTGTCTATGACTAATTTTTCTTGCTTCATCACTACTGGTCCCATCTTCATGTCGCTTGTGGACTTATGGTCGTACTCTTCCTTATTTTGAATTTCATAAAATACCTGTTTCAAATTCCGTTCAGTAACGTCGGTAGCTCTGTACGAATTTTGACCATGTGTGGATTTCAAAAATTCTTTATCATCGCAGTCTAATCCATATGCTACGAATGGACCTGTCTGTATGTCCCCAAGATATCCATAATGAGCAAACTTATCTCCGTTAGGTATGACGGCACATACGAATGTCCTGTTTGGTTTAGATACTTCGTTTTCCAACCAACTAAAAGCTACTCCATTCAAACGAAAGTTGCGATATTCTTGGTTGCACACTTGTTTACCACCCACTTCGTGGAAACGCATGTGAAGATCCCAGTCAAACGCCCCGTATTTGGCATCGTATCTTACCCCTAACATTTTTCTTAGACGCCTGTCCCAACAGTCGCAAATGTTAAATTCGTCTTTTCCGACCCAGAATTTGAGTAGATTTTCCAAATAGTCTCGTTCTTTGTATTTCATGTCGAAGCTGATACAGTTCAAAATTTCATGTAGATAGTCGTAGTTTGTAATCATTTCCACCAAATCGGATGCTATTATTGATAAGCTTTTCGCAACTGAAGGTCGGACTAGCGTGTTGCCATAAAGTTCCATGAAAGTTTTCGTTTTCTGGTCGAGTCCCATAGATTCTTGAGGCTGGAGTGCGATGTAAAGAAGCAGAAGCTGTCTCCCAATACTTTCCAAGCAAGCATCTAACAGATAGAAGTTGAGTTTCACCGGTTTGTGTCGGTATTTTTTCGCTATGGTTTGCAGCACATGTCTACAGTCAGATCCGCCAATTATGAGGATGTTCATTTCTTCGGGAGTTTCTTCATTTATCAACTCATATTCTTTAAGAAGATCAAGCGCTGGAGTTAAACCCCAAAACATTTTTGTAAGTTTAACACGGTAGTGTCAAATTTTAACTGGCAGTCATAGCATTGATCAAACTTGATGTAACTAGTGGTTACCCAATAGAGGTACATACAGGGTGGCCCAACGAAAAGGTCGCACCCGCATTTCTGACTTCTGATATATTTTGTAAAAAACGCTTGGACACGTCAATTTTGATCTCTAGGGGAACGTCTTTTCATCTACATATACAATGCAGGGTGAACCAAAATAAAGGTATTGCGTTACACTTTAGATTTTTAAATGGAAATCCCCATTTGTTAATTTTTAGATTTTCCATGAAGTTTTTAGTAACTTTTGTACAATAAAGTCTATACCTATCTTCAATCGTTGTAAAGCTATTTGTGTTTGACAAATTGGTTAAGGCTTTCACGGCCAGTTGACAAACTGCTGTCTTGACTCGGGTCGTCGGTTGGAATTTCTTCCTAACGTTTCGCTAGCGCGAGTGGCAAGCTTCTTCAGAGGTCCTTCCATTTCCGATGCTGGATGCAGACTGACGATTTCTCTTGCGCAGGTTGTATTTATACCGGAGGGTAGGTGACGTGGCTTGTTCCGCTTCGGTTGACTTCGGGATTTCGATCGGCTCTGCTAGGGCGTTTCTGATGATCGGGTGCCAGATCGGGTTGAGTCTGAGGGTCTCTTCCTTCCTGCTGAAGTTATCTGGATGTTTGTGAATCTCGATAGCTTCCCTGACCAGTCTATTGTGATAGCCGTTGACTGATGACAGCAACCTGCAGCTCCCAAAGTGTATTATGTGGTCGCCATTGCTTAGTGCTTGTACAGCTACCGCCGACTTCTCAGTTTGTCCTAGCCGGCAATTTGATTGTGCTCCTTGAGTCTCGTTCCCATTGATCTTTTCGTGGTTTCAATGTATACTTTGCCGCATGAACACGGTATGCGGCAGACTCCTGCAGCTGAGAGTGGGTCCTTCTTGTCCTTTGCCGATCTGATGGTTTGAGAGGTGGTGGGACGCTGTTCGGTTTCACGTGGCCTGGCAGATCTCGATTCCATTGATCTTTCGATGTCCCTCTTGGTGTAGCCATTTGCTTCGAACGCAGTTTTCAAGTTCCGTCTGGAGGTTCTCCGGTTCGCAAATCCTTCGAGCTGGTTCTGTCAGGGTTCTGATGACTCCATACTTCTGACTTGGGTGATGATTGGACAAAGCGTGCAGGTATCTGTCGGTGTGCGTTGATTTCCTGTACACTGTGTGACCCAGCTTGTTACCTCGCTTCCTGACTAGTACGTCCAAGAAGGCCAGTTGTTGGCCACTCTCTATCTCCATGGTAAATTGTATGCTTGGATGCCGATCGTTGAGGTGCTGCAGAAACTCGTTTAGCCTGTCAGTGCCATGTTTCCAAATCACGAAGGTGTCGCCCACATACCGGAACCAAATTGCTGGTGTTCTCCGATGTCTCAACCGCCTTCTTAAAGTGTTCCATAAAAAAAGGTTGGCTATGACTGGGCTAAGTGGACTTCCCATTGCCACTCCGTCTGTTTGCTCATTAAAGGCCCGTCCCTCAGCGGTACCTTGGTGAAAAGGGAGACGACATCGAAGCTCACAAGGATGTCGACGGGTTCAACTACGAAGTCCTGAATCTTGCGCACAAAATCGGTGGAATACTTGATGTGGCTGATACTCTTTCCCACGTGGATCTTGGGCAGGCCCCGAAACATTCCGGTTGAAGACATTATCTCCAGTACGGAGGCAGCCATTAGACATCTACCGGACGAGGCCGCCGAGGAGATACGAATGAAGACAGCCAACATTCTTAGAAGGGCGAAACTACCGAAAAGCAACCTGACGAGGAGTGAAGCTCTGGCACTACGGAACTTTAATAACGACGAGGATATCATCATACTCCCAGCCGACAAAGGCAATGCAACCGTTCTTCTGAAGACCGAGGACTACAAAAGGAAGATTATTGAACTTCTAGACCCACAAAGATACAAACCCCTGAAGAAGGATCCAACGCAAGCACGACTACGCCTTACCAACCAGCTCATCAAGCTATCATCACTGGCAGAAGACACCAAGAAGAGCGTTACGAGGACGGAAGCGGTTCCACCAAGCCTCTACGGCCTGCCCAAGATCCACAAGGCAGATGTTCCTTTGAGACCAATAGTCAGTGCTCCCGGATCGCCGACGTACTACTTAGCGAGACACTTGACATCCCTGCTGCAACCATACGTGGGAAAGAGTACCAGCTACATCAAGGATTCCACCGATTTTGTGCGCAAGATTCAGGACATTGTAGTTGAACCCGACGACATCCTTGTGAGCTTCGATGTCGTCTCCCTTTTCACTAAGGTACCACTGAGGGAATGCCTAGATCTGGTGAGCAGGATCTTCCCTTCTGACACCTGCAAGCTCTTTGAAATCTGTCTCACTGGAAGCTACTTCGCCTGGGATGGGGGCTTTTATGAGCAGACAGTCGGAGTGGCAATGGGAAGCCCAGTCATAGCCAACCTTTTTTTGGAACACTGAGAAGAAGGCGGTTGAGACATCGGAGAACAAACCAGCAATTTGGTTCCGGTACGTGGACGACACATTCGTGATTTGAAAACATGGCACGGACAGGCTAAACGAGTTTCTGCAGCACCTCAACGATCAGCATCCACGCATACAATTAACCATGGAGATAGAGAGTGACCAACAACTGGCCTTCTACTAGTTAGGAAGCGAGGTAACAAGCTGGGTCACACAGTGTACAGGAAACCAACGGACACAGGCAGATACCTGCACGCTTTGTCCAATCATCACCCAAGTCAGAAGTATTGAGTCATCAGAACCCTGACAGAACCTGCTCGAAGGATTTGCGAACCGGAGAACCTCCAGACGGAACTTGAACACCTGAAAACTGCGTTCGAAGCAAATGGCTACACCAAGAGGGACATCGAAAGATCAATGGAATCGAGATCTGTCAGACCACGTGAAACCGAACAGCGTCCCACCACCTCTCAAGCGTATCTTCCATTTGTGCCAAGAGTCACGGACAGGATTGGCAGAGTCCTGAAGAGACATGACATTAAAACAATCTTCAAGCCTATGAAGAAAATCCAACAAACCATCAGATCGGCAAAGGACAAGAAGGACCCACTCTCAGCTGCAGGAGTCTACCGCATACCGTGTTCACGCGGCAAAGTATACATTGGAGCCAAAGATCAATGGGAACGAGACTCAAGGAGCACAAAGCAAATTGCCGGCTAGTACAAACTGAGAAGTCGGCGGTAGCTGAACATGCACTAAGCAATAGGGACCTCAGGATACACTTTGGGAGCTGCAGGTTGCTGTCATCAGTCAACGGCTATCACAATAGGCTGGTCAGGGAAGCTATCGAGATTCAAAAACATCCAGATAACTTCAACAGGAAGGAAGAGACCCTCAGACTCAACCCGATCCTCAGAAACGCCCGAGCAGTGCCGATCGACATCCCGAAGTCAACCGAAGCCGAACAAGCCACGTCACCTATCCTCCGGTATAAATACAACCTGCGCAAGAGAAATCGTCATTCTACATATAGCATCGGAAATGGAAGGACCTCTGAAGGAGCTTGCCACTCGTGCTAGCGAAACGTTAGGAAGAAATTCCAACCGACGACGGCCTTTAGACCCGAATCAAGACAGTAGTCTATTTGTGTTTATAATAAAATTCAACTAACTTAATAGTCAGTTTTTCATTTCAGATTGCTACCTACCCAATTGTGACAAATATTGAACAATTACTTATTCAATTCAAGAAGGCGTAAGATAACAAAACCGTATTACCAAAATGGAGGCATTGCAAAAGCTACTGCCTGGTTGTTTAATGCGTTACATCCAGACCATCAATGGAAACCCTCTTTTTTTTAATTTTTAAATTCTCCAAAAAGGTCGCACCCCCCATTTGTGACTCTCCTGGTATGTTTTGGGGAAAACGCTCGGACACGTCAATTTTTAGGAGGACGTCTTTTCAACTATAGTTGTAGTCACCGTTCTTGGCGGTTACGTCGTCAACGCCATATGAAATAAGTAAATAGATCGAGTTTCCGCACCATGGGCTAATCTACTGTCTCCAGTACGCATGAAGTGGGAAACAGGGGACCACTGTTTTTCATGATCTTCCTGGAAATACTCTAATAAATTTAGCTTGAGCTGCCGGCCTTCTCCATTGGTCGTATTTCCGGAGATTGTACAATTTTATTTTGAAGATTGATAACAGGACAATCCAAATTGCACGCCGATGTCAAGTAAGTTGTCACTCTGACAAATATGATTGAATGGAACTAATACTTAACGACAGTTTTCGAGTCGGAGACAAACATTTATTTTAATTTTTAGATTTTCCGTGAAGTTTTTAGCAACTTTTGTATAATAAAGTTTATACCTCTCTTCAATCCTTGTGAAGCTATTTGAGTTTATAACAAAATTCTAGAAATTATGATAAGGGATTATATCGTGAAAATAATAATCAATGTAGTTCCCGTAGTAACAAGACTTTACTTTAAAATTAAAAACAAGTCTTCGAGTATTAAAAAAAACAAAAAACAACTCACAACTTACAAGCACATTAGAACCGAATTTTATTATAAACTCAAGTAGCTTCACAGCGGCATCTCCCGAAATGCACACCAGCAAAGCTTCAAAGTCATATTAAAGACCTGAAGTTGCGTAAAGCGCTTGGGGAGGATCAAGTCACTAATAACGTGCTGAAGCTGCTTTCACGGAAGTCCTTGACTTTTATCGTGGCTATTATAAATGCCAAACTGAGGACCCAGTACTTTCAATCGGCGTGGAAGACTGGAAGTTATAATGATTCTAAAGAAGGTCGGTCTGAGCGTAGTACGGAGTTACAGGCGGTTCACCCTTAACGAATGTACTGGCATCTTGCTTCTGGCTGTCTCGAAGGCATTTGGCAAGTTGTGCCACAAGGGCCTTCTCTATAAACTAATTCAAAAGGACTTTGCATTTTGGCTCCAAAAAATTTTGAAATCCTTCCTTTTAGGTAGGAAATTTCGGATCAAAATTAATGTCTTATCGACATTACGGTCCATCAGAGCCGGCGTCCCTCATTGTTCGGTTCTAGGGCCAATCCTTTACTCACTTTTCACGCATGATGTTCCTTGCCCTAGCGACTGTGAAGTTTATATCTATATGCTGATGACACTGCACTGATGACCCAGTCGCGATCTGCGAATCTGGTTCACAACAGGTTACAAAGTGTGGTGGATGAGGTATTGGAATGGGCAGATCGGTGGCTAATCAAAATTAATTACTCGAAAACGCAGGCTATCTATTGTATTAAAAAACGTAGCGGCGTCCCGCTTGAGGTTTCAGTGAATGGAGCTCACATACCATGGGGAAATTCTGCTCAGTGTCACTCTTGACAGGGGGATGACCTGGCAGAAGCTCACTGAAGCGTTAAAAACTAAATTCCAAATTACGTTCATGCATTTCCCTATGCTATGTAGAACCTCAAAATTATGTTTGGTCAACAAAGTTCGATTATCAATCCATCAATCACTTACGCATGTGCAGCATGGTGTTTTCTCGCCAAAACGCATATGCGTAATATGCAGGTTTTGCAGAACCGAACATTGCGAACTATCACTAACGCACCATGGTATGTCTCCAACGAGACCCTCCACAGCGACCTTGACATCCCTAGCATAGTGCATGGACGTCAATATTTATTCTTGTATAAGGTTATGTACAAATGATATTTATGATCGATAAATCCTGTTGGTATAGATCTCAGTAAATGCTGGACGAGCAGTATTCAAATTACACAGGATTGGTCGCGAAAGTTCCTACACACCTTCATGGTATTTTTCATTATACCCTTCTTGATTATGTCATTGATTAAAGTATTCTATCTGAACTGTATTTCTGCGTCTAAAAAATATCTTAGTTGTAATGAGATATCCTGGCGCCATCCAAGAGTTTTTGTCACAGGTGTGTTTCTACTCCTCCCAATAATTAGTAATATACTTTGAAAATGTTAGTGTCTCATATATGGCTCTGTAGCCAACTATATTCTCTTATAGAAACTAACCATTTCATAGTTGATTTCGAATTATTGCGGAGAAGAGCAGCATATCTGTGACAAATTCTGATCAGTGAGTCCAGGATCTCATTTCTTCTGTGGTATTTTTTTGGGTGCCAAAATATAAATACGGCTGGCTATCATCAGGTAAAATACGTTAAACAATGATTATGCTTACATGAAATTACCATAGACACTGTCTGTATTCTGTTATTTTAGTTGTAAAATGTCATCAGCTGGTTCAAGTGGTTCAGGCAGAGGAAGAGGCAGCCAAACTGTCGGAGATCAAAAAGAATCAAAGGACAACAAACCAAATCCAAAAATGTCGAAAGCACTGGGAACTTCGGCCAAACGTATTCAAAAAGAACTCGCTGAAATCACTCTTGACCCACCGCCAAACTGCAGTGCTGGGCCAAAAGGTAAATCAATATATTAATCAACAATTTGCAATCAACGAAATATGTTTTTCATTCAATAAAGTTATAAATCACACTTTTCGTGAGAGAAGCTATTCTCATAACCTGTAAGAGATCACATAGGTTTTAACTTTTTACTCGTAATACTACACTACTTATTTTAGTAATAAAAGAAGTATTGTCTTTTTCATGAGTTTCCATTACGGTAGAATAACGGCTGAATATCTATTAATATTCCAAAATTCTCCATATCAACAATTTACCGATAATTCTGTTTTTTTTTGTACGGTACAAATTCATTTTGTACTTGCTAATAACTCTTTTATTTAGACAAGTTAATTTGCATACAAAAAGCACTACAAGCAAGTTTTACTAGACTTACACCCGATTTATTAATGTCAACGTTACAGAGTAATACAAAGATGTCACTTGCTGATCAGCTGTTCACCTCGGTAGACGTCAAAATGTGGTGGAAGCTCGTTTTCTAACGTCAAAATTCCTGGTTGACCAATCATCGGTTTATTTGACATGATTGCGAGTTGTCTAGACAGCCTGGCGTTAAGGCGATATGTTTATATCGGACGACTCTTTGATGTATCCACCAAAAACCGTGAAAAGTGCGGAACTACGTTCTGCTTAGTATAAATGTGGCGTTTTATAAATAATCTGTGGCAGCTTGACAATACCGTCAAGGATGGTACGCACATAAATCGCTCTTTTTATTTGAGATGACCGCAAGTTTTGGTTACATCGCGTACAGATATGGAATGTCAAAAACTAGTAAAATACCTTGCGTATTTAGATCTTAAACAGTATCAAAATACGTAAGTTGTAACTCGTTTTTATGGTATCATATCAGTACGCAATGATGCCAAAAAATTATGATCTGCTCCTCTACTGTAATGCAAATGACTCTCAAAGTCAATCAGGCCGACAGATGGATTATAAAAGCATTCCACGAAGTGTCTTCTTTTGATAGAACTACTTTTTGGTTCAACCTGTGGTTTTACCAAGTTTTTTTTACCAACGTATTTTTGTAGGTGAGAACTTCTACGAATGGGTGTCAACAATCCTGGGACCGCCAGGTTCCGTGTATGAGGGAGGTGTTTTCTTCCTGGACATCCACTTCTCGCCCGAATATCCCTTCAAACCACCCAAGGTGACTTTTCGAACGAGAATTTACCATTGCAATATCAACAGCCAGGGAGTCATCTGTCTGGATATACTGAAAGACAACTGGTCTCCAGCCCTCACCATCTCCAAAGTTCTGTTGTCTATCTGTTCCCTGCTTACTGATTGTAATCCAGGTAAGGCTCTCACTAACCTATCATATGAAGCAAAAACAATTACGCAACGTTTTCGAGAAAATGCGAAAATTTCAAGTTTTCCACCACTTTAAATGGACTATTCGATCAAATAAGAGGTCGTATTTTTGCTTTTGTAGTCGAGGTCAGCTAAAAAGTATTGTTGAAATCATCAGAAAAAGTACAAAATAGTTGCCATTGATCACAACTTTTATGCACTAATGGAAAAAATTAAGGTACCAAATGAAAATTGTCATGTTTTAGACATTCTTTGAAGTGATGTATCTCAGTAAAAAAATGGTCGTAAGAGAAACATTTTTAAGCTTCAAATGTGTAGTGTTTGGATCATTATTTAAAACATTTTTGAAGCTGATTCCACGCAATCCCCGGAAATATAATCTTTTTAATGTTTTTATTTAGGTCCACGAACTTGGAAAAATGTTTCAATAGCCTTTTTATTCAGCTCAATTTGCTTTTTTTGTTTTTAATGAAATACACCATTTTGATACTCGTTACCTCAGGAACTCATCATAAGGAAAATCTGAGGGTGGTTTCAAAAGCTGGAATGCATTCTCTATGGGAGAAAATTTCTTCATTGGAATTCATTGGGCTGGAAAAAAACAGGATAAAATGTGTAACTTATGGATTTTAGAAAACCAAAAATATTGATAAAACATCTGAAGGTTATCATGTGGTTTTCATGTCGAATCCCATTTCTCTGGCCAATCAAAGTCACATATGTTGAAAAAATATTATTTATTGTAAACATTGTGGTTACAATGGAGACCTTCTTCAGTGCAATAACTTTGAAAATATATTTTATTTATCCGGCTATTGCTATACAGTGTGTTACTATAATAGTGTGAAAGGTCCCGTAACATGTTGGGATTTCGCGAAACCATCATTCCACATCTTGACATAGCACCACGCAAAACCGAAGGAGCCTACGGGTAGGCATTCCCGCCTCAAGAAAAGAACGTCCAGTCCTCCAGAATGACAAGCGAACATGAGGTTATCTGTCGTTTTTTTTTTAATGTGCCAGATACGTCACCCTCGTCCAGCTTTCCTAAAACGCTAAAAGCCGTAAAAAACCCACCCATAACTGTTGTCATAACACACCAGTTAATTGTTCGACTAAAGTATTGCAAATGCATTGTTTATGGATCTACCGAATTGAGACATTTACCGAAATATCGAAAACTGGCTCATTTTCTACGATATTTAAAAATATGCCAGATATTTGCAGATTTTTTACCGAAAATGCTGAAAACAAAAATAAACCTAAAAAAATGAATTCGATGTAGTCTATGTTGTTTTATGCCCCCATACCAGTCATACGTAATTTAGACAACTGAGCACTCGAGAGAAGTAGATTTGGATTGCCTATAATTATGGCATAACAGGAAAATAGTGGTTTATATCTACAAATTATACAGCAATTCAATGGACATGTTGAATTGTTAAAAATATTTTCTTTTTTTTTTTCAAAATTATACCTCTCAGGTAAGGAGTGACACCGTTGTTTCCAATAAAATGCTCATTTAATTGCTGTCATATAAAAATCTAGATATTGTATCAGATTCGGTTCTTGCTTCGAGTATGACGCAAATGTTTCTTTTTCATTGGTGCATTGTGTGCCCGCGGCCGCTTATTTTGTGTCCGGGCGCAACTGAAAAAAATAGGTTTTTGTAACTGAAAGAGATGATTTATGACGTATTTTTTGATTGAACATGGAAATTAGGAGCCCATCTTACACAAACCACATATTTTTTGTATAGTTTGAGAATTTTACAAAAGTCGACCATATTTATTTGTTAGATCACTTACTTCAAAGATGCCTTTTTGCGCCCTGGCTTTGTAAAGTTGGGACTTATCCTGCTTTTTAATTGGTGGAATTTGTGTCGACTTTTGTGTGCGGAAAAATGAAAAAATAGATTTTTGTTTCTTGATTTAATATGAGAATTAGGAGTCCATGTTACACAAATTGTATGATTTCTCTTTAGTTTGACAAACGTTTTACAAGAAATTGACCATATTCATTACATCCATTACTTCTCATTGGTCAGATTTGTGCCATAGGTTTTGGTAAAATCAGAACGAACCTCAATACGACCATTTTTTACCGAGATACTGCACTTCAAAGAATCTCTAAAAATGCACTGTTCTTATTTGATCCTTTATTTTTTCAAATTAGTGTATGTACAGTTTTGAGAAGTTTAAATGAAATCGACAGTTTTGGTCCATGTAATCATTTGTACGAGCCCCTTCCCACTTCAGTTGGCCCAACTATTGAAATCCTAGTTTTTCTCTTATCAAACACAAATAATAAAAATGTAGCAGGTGTTATAGGTTTAAAATATTAACAATGAATATTTTGATAATATATAGTAGAAAACACCAACTTTATCACTCCCTAATCAAATTTGCAGCATAAAATAACACACGTTGCAATTACAGCATATCAACCTATTTTCATTTCAATGCAAAATAAGTCTATAACGCATAGGTGGCTGTGAAAAATAAAAGCCATGACAATTGTTTTTATTAATCACAGCTGTCAGAATACGTTTAAAATAGTTTTGGATAGTTAAGGTTTTCAAAATGGGTAGAGGAAAGGTTATTAGTGAGATAATTCGGTTACTGATGATTAAATTTTTTAATTCTGGGAAATCAAACTCAGAAATTGCAACTTTGTTAGACTTATCGCGCTATAGTGTGAGAAATATTGTTAGAAGATGTTACGTAACTGGTTCAGTTAATATTAAGCCACGATGTGTGAAAAAAACTAATATCACAAATGCCGACCGCGGAGCATTAAGAAAATAATCGTGAAAAACAGGCGTGCCAATTATTTACAATTAAGTGGAGTGACGCTATTGGAAGGAGAATTTCGAGGTCCACAACTCATAGAGAGGCCCAAAAACTGAGATTTAGCACTTGCAAGGTAAGTTTTGTTATAAAAACAAGTGAAGTAAAAACCCTAAAGTCGTACAACTTGTTTATAGGCCAAAGATAAGCCATTATTAACTCCACTGCAAAAGAAAAATCGGCTTAGATGGGCTAAAGAACATAGACAATGGACAGCTCAACAATGGTGTGCAATACAATGGAGTGATGAGGCCCGATTCGAAGTTTGTGTTGGTGGCAGTCCCCGTAGAGTTATTTGCAAAAAAATGAAGCATTCCATGATGACTGTCTGAAGAGAAAAGTGAAATTTCCAGCATCCATTTATGGTCTGGGGCAGTATGTCATCAAAAGGAGTAGGATACTTCATTTTATTGATGGAAATGTGGATACCAACAAATATTTGGCAATTCTAGAAGAATCGCTTTTACCAGTGATGGAAGAATGTTTGACATCCGGCCAAGATTTTGTGTTTCAGCAAGATGGTGCAGCGTGCCATACCTCAAGAAAGGCTATAAAATGGATGGAAGAAAATAATGTACCACTTTTGAAATGGGTTTCTAGCAGTCCAGATCTGTCACCTATTGAAACTTTGTGGCACGAGATGCAAAAGGTTCTACGACAACATCCTGCTCGTACAATCACCGAACTGAGACACAAGCTTCAAGAAATATGGGATTGTTTTACACCAAATTTTTGCCAAAACTTGGTTAACATTATGCCCCAAAGAATTTCAGCCGTAATAAAAAATAAAGGTGATGTTACCCAATCGTAATCTTTCAATTGTTGCTTTGTTAACTTCGCGCATTTATTCGCACATTGTTTATTTGCTCAGATGTTCTATTAGTTATAGGTCTAAGTGATTTCAAATATGTATTTTTACGACTAGAGTGTATCTAAAATGTTTTTGAGAAAATAAATTGTTTTAGAAGTAAATAGTTTCGTCATGTTTAGTTTATAAAGGCATATTTTGGTACAAATCTTGAGGTGGGCCAACTGAAGTTGGGAAGGGGCTCGTACTATCAGGAAGACGTGCTTGAAACATTTTACTCGAAAATTGATAAATCCCATGTTTCCGTCGTTTTGATATTTCCCCATATTATTTCATTTCATAAAGAGGAAGATTAATTATACAAGATATCCTAGAATACGATATTCTTTCAGGAGATTATGGGACACAAAAATGCAACAAGTACCTATATCGGATGATTCTCTAAGGTGACTCACCTCTATAACTTTTTTATTATTGAACATAGAAAAACAAAATTTGGATGTTGCCTATTATAGATAAATTTACATTTTTTTACTTATTCACTTGCTTTGACGTACTTCCGGGTTGACCGGAAACGACTTTCGATTTTTAAATGGCACACCCTATATATTTTTACTGATTTTGATCGAGAACGATATTCTGAACTCAACAACGCCTCACTTGTCTATATTTGACAGATAAAGTCATTTTTATTTCAATTTTTATTTTTGATTTAGAATGCCATGAATCCTGTAAATCGCTTTATTTTTGATCAAGTAACACGGGAAAAATACGATTTTGAAGCGAACGACCTTAAAGTTGTTCTAAAGATTTTCTGAAAGTTACAAACAGTGATTTTTTCTGTTTACTCGATTTTTTCAAATAAAATATTAAGGGGGGTGGCTCGACGGCTTTTTCTAAAAGACCATTTTCTTACCAGTAGTTTGACACTACACACTCTTATTTTATTTTCACTATTTTTCTGAATAATTGTAAGAAACCATTATACCTAATAACAAATAACACGTATCTGCTTTCGGTATACCTATGCACTAAGTCCTATTATTCTAGTTATGTGTGACAAACAATTGAAGGTGTCGCTAGGGTTACTTCAACAAATACCTAATCTAGGTTATTAAAAATACTGTCAGTTTTAAAAATTTATTTGTTACATAATTTGCAATGGAAAACTATAACTAGAAGCGAGAAAGTTGACATTCTGTTGATTTACGGGGAAGCAATAAAAAATGCAACTGAGGCAGCTCGAAGATATTTCCCAATCGTCGCCATCCCACTCGGCATTATTTTCCAAAATTCTGGAACAGAAAATGCGAAATGAACCAGAAGA